TTTCTCTCCCCTCCCCCCTACCTTTGCTGTAGCGTGGCCGAGCCCAGTATAGTCCGCGGGTACAGAGAGCAGCTGTCTCCTGTAACCGGCCGGACTAACAGGAAGTGCACACTGAGTGTTCCCTTCCTGTTAGTCCGGCCGGGTACAGGAGACAGCTGCTCTCTATACCCGCGGACTATCAATGCTGCAGGGCTCGGCCACGCTACAGCAAAGGAAGCTGACAGGAGGGAGCGCTGAGCGCTGAGCGCTTCCCTCCTGTCAGCCTCTCCTCAAGCTGCGCCCGGGCGGTGCGGTCTGCCCTCATGGACGCACCGCCCGGGCAAAGCTGCAGCCGCCTGAGGCTCAATACACAAGCTTCAGGCGTGGCTGCACGGGGGCGGCGGGGCTGGCCATGGCACCCCCCACCCGGCTGGCACCCGGGGCGGACCGCCCCCCCCGCCCTCCCCTTAGTACGCCACTGGAAAGCAGTTGTTGTTGTTGGGGGGATTCTATCATGAGAGGTGTGGAGCTGGTCAATAGTGGTCTTGTGAGATGTCTTCCCGGAGCTACTGCTAACAGAGACAGGAGATATATTTGTAATATTACCAAGCAAGCAAAGCAGGAAGGGGAATTGGATGTACTTGTCCATCTTGGGACAAATGACTTGGCTTGCAATGAGGTTTCACAGGTAAAGGTAGTTTTTTATGTTTTTGCCAATGATATATGGCAGGTTGCTTCCACACTGTCATTCTCTGAAGTTCTGCCTGTGCATAACACTCAGAACGACAGGCGGATGAGTATTAGGGACTTTAACTTGTATTTTAAACTTGAAAGTATTTAGAAAATTGGGCAGACTAGATGTGCCGAATGGTTCTTATCTGCCCTCACATTCTATGTTTCTATTTTTCTAAGTCTGGGCGGGGTGAGAAAGGGAGAGTTTGCAACGGCTTCAGACAAGAGATCTGCAGCATTTGAAACCTGGTTTTAAGTATAACTCAGTAAAAAAATGCATAATTAAATATACATTGGGGGCATATCTACTAAAAAATTAATTTATTTTTTATTTTTTATTTAGGCCTGTCCTCCTTCCTGTCCTAGTTCCATATCTACCTATGTTGGTTATTTATTCCCGATTGGCTACATACATTCAGAGTTGTAGAAATGTTTACATTTTGGCTGTTCACATTTTAATGTGTAATGCACGTGTTTATTAAGTACAGTAGGCCTCTCAGTTATGATTAAGTTTAAAACCATTGACGCACACAGCATGGAGTCAGAAAATCAATAAGCTATTTCACTGAGAGCACACACTTTCTCTGCTGGTTGAAGTGCTATAAACTCTAAAAAGGTCACAGCTCCTGCATTCATTGACAACTGAAGTACTTATAGACATGCTAAACTAAGAAAGGAAGGTAGTTGATAAAGAGTAGTTTTCTTATTTGGCTACTTGGCTTAAATTTTGCAGTTCTTTTGTCAGTTCTCCACAAAAAAAAAACCTTGTGTGCGGCTGGCCGTATCACAGGAAAGAGAGTTTCTACAGAGGCAGATTGGGATATACATGCGCTGTATAATAAGTGCCTATTGTTCGGGACCAGCTTTCTGTGTACCATTCATTTGGAACTTATTTTATAACTTTAGAATCAATAAAATATTACTCAATTGACATTTTTTCCTGTCGCGCACCTACCAACATTTGAAATGGTCAAAGAGGGCCACTTTAATTTTAGGGGTGCGAATGGGGGTGTGGCCAGGAGCGGGGCAGTTCTGAGAAATTTAAGGTGGCTTACTAATAACAATTTGTACAACTAAAATGTGATTTAGAACAATGACAATGTATCTTATTTACACAGACTGATTTCTAAACACATTTATTGTAGTTTAAAGTCACATTTCTGTGAGTATTATTGCTGTGGAGCTCTACTATCAATACTCAGGGGCAGAAACAATATGGGGATCCTAGAAAAGAGGGACATTTGTCCAAAGAAGAGGGATTTGGGTTACAAATAGGGACTGTCCCTACTAAATAGGGACACTTGGTAGGTATGGATTGTTTAAGATATCCTGATTTACTCTATGCATTATAGAATCATTATTAGGCAGTGCGTACAATAGGAAAATATCTCCAGTTGTGCTCTGATTGCCAGCACGACTTGACACTTTGGGTTTGGTTCACTAAATAAGGATTTGTGTTGAATTGGAACGCAATTACACACACCTTATGTGAAAATAGAAAAATAGCTGAATTGGCCAATTTTTCCATTGTGGCTATGATGTAGTTTTTTTGTTTGTTCTTTTTTTAGGAAAAGAACTTAGAAATAAAACAGATCTTGATAATGTAAGGGACCCCTGAAAGCTCGTCACTACAAATTTCTGTTGGCCCAACAAAAAAGAAATGACAAAAAAACTGCAATACTTCATTATTTTGCATCTACACGTCTGGACTATTACAACAACTCAAATACATAACAACAAAAAACTATAATCACTCATCTTACCAGCGGGATGATTCTTTGCTGACTTTAAAATCAACAATAACTAGTCTACCATCCCACCAAACAGCTTATGCTGAATATTCAAAGTCCAGGTCATGTGTACAGGGCGGTAATAATGGCAGTCATCCTAGAGATAAACAGAGTCAATATTTTGGCTGAGGGTTTGTTACTTTGGACCAATCAAAGTCTTTATCTGCTTGTGACACTTTACACGATGACAGCTATCAGATTCAGCAAACTGAAATATAAATAGCAGGTGTAAAATTAACACTAAACCCCGATTCTCCAACCCCACCCCTCAAAAAAAGCGAATAACAAAAACTTCTCCATCTAGCCAGATTGTCCTTGGTTCAAAATGCAATGACTGGTTTAAATGTGTTCGCGGGGCCTGTTTGCAGTTCTTGACAATGGTTTTGGGTGCGGGGGTGGATGTCGGCCATATTGATTTTGAGGGCTTATACACAAAATTGATCCAAGCATTCTTAGAGATTCACAGTGACGTCTGGGCAGTTCTGACCATTTCACCTAGACGGGGCAACAAATTACAGGGTCATGCTGGCATCATTGCCTACGTTATAACTTCCCCCGGCAGGTTCGATACCATGTCTGGATATTTTGGTGCCCCTGTACATACACACAAGCCGCCAAAGCTGTCCTGTTGGACCATCCTGTGGCCCTTTTCTCATTACCCATACCTCCTGATCTTGTAACTATTTACCGTTACCTGAACCCTGTCACATTATCTGAATTGCCTTCCGTAATCTACACATTGACTATTATCATACAAGATTGGTTACAGTACCCATAGGCTCTGATGCTTTGAATATCATTGCTTCCTTACCCCAATTCCAGGAATCTTGTTTTTCGTTACCTGGGAGCCCATCACTTTAGGCCTGCTCTGATGGCGGTATCCGCAAAGCTGTTTAACACCCTATGCACGAGTCCCAGAATACCGGCAACATGGCTCCATATGGTCAGAACTCTCAATTTGTATTTTTTTGTGTGTATTTTCTGGAGTGAGTGTTCTCACCCCTAGAGTGAAAGACACCAGTCACAGGTCATGGGCCACGACCTATTAATTAGTGCACAAATCCCAATTCAATAAACCGTTTATGGGGCTAATTGTACATTTCTGAGAAAAATAACAGAGAACATAAAACATACTCATCCCATGGGAAGAGTTAACCTGATACTCGTGGATACATTTATTTATCCTATAAACTCCTGCAGGAGCAGAACCAGAGGCTCCTGGCTGATCTGTCTATAGCTGCTAACAGACCCACTAAACCAGGGGTCCTCAAACTCCGGCCCCCCAGATGTTGCTGAACTACAACTCCCATGATTCTCTGGCTATCTATGTAATTCAAAGAATCATGGGAGTTGTAGATCAGCAACATCTGGGGGGGCTGGAGTTTGAGAACCCCTGCACCAAACAGTGCATCTACAGGGACCTTTGTGGGATACTCCCCTCTCTCATAGCTTCTCCCTCAATCTAACATTGATTTTCCATTTACATCCCTTGTTAAAGTGACTAATCAGTTTATGGCAGGAGACCACTAGGTGGCAGTGCGCTCTGGAGGTGCACCCACACTGCTAAGCCATAGAGTCGGTTTGTCGTTCCGCTGTCGCCCCGGAAGTAGAGTCAGTGCGTTTGAGGCCACACGTGGGTGCAGCGTGTTTGTCCAGCGGCTTCGGGAATGGGGAAATCAGGGAAGCTTCGCTCCGGTGCGGCCGGTAAAGTGAAACGATGGAAGAAAGGACACAGCAGCCAGTCCAACCCCGAGGCTCGAAGACACCGAGAGGCCGCCAGGAGCCGCTTCTTCAGCCGCCCCTCAGGTAGGTCCACATCTGGGTGGGTAGGTGGGTGAATGGGGAATGGTGGGTGTTAAACGTTTCACGTATTAGGCCAAAGTAGCCGAACCGTGGATATAACGGGCTTGGGGATTGTTTCAGTATCGGCTATTGTGATCTAAAAGTTCGCCTATATCTGTAAAGTCCCAACGTTTCGCACTTTAGTGAATAACAAGTAATTTGTGAGATTGATGTGATAAGAGACCGATTACCCTGTGACACTCCAGGTAGTCTTAGCTGCAAAACGCTTAACCCCTTAAGGATCAAACTTCTGGAATAAAAGGGAATCATGACATGTCATGTGTACTTAAGGGGTTAAAGTGAAACTGCGACTGGTGAGGTTTATGCACAGGATGACCATTGAATCCTGGGCCCTGCCCCTCCCACCCCCAATTACGTCCAATCACACTGACAGACATACTAAAACATTCGCAGATGCATACTGACAAACACATATATACTGGCAGACATATTGACACACATTCACACATTCAGACATACAGACATATACACTGACAGATATACTGATGTACTGACACAGACACATACACTGACAGATATACTGATGTACTGACACAGACACATACACTGACAGATATACTGATGTACTGACACATACACTGACAGATATACTGATGTACTGACACACACACTGACAGATATACTGATGTACTGACACACACATACACTGACAGATATACTGATGTACTGACACAGACACACACTGACAGCAGTGGCGTACATACCAGGGTCGCAGCTGCGACCGGGCCCGTCCCACCAGGGGGCCCGGCCGCCCCTGCGACCCGGTGTGTACCCACAGGGCCAGCCTCTTCTCCTGGGGGGCCCCGGTCAGGCGGGCGCGCGAGGGAGCACTCAGTTCTTCCTCTTCAGCTCCCTCGCGCACCGCACTGATGCCGGAGTCGGAAGATGACGTCATCTTCCGGCGCCGGCATCCCTACGCGGCGCGCGAGGGAGCTGAAGAGGGAGCACACAGGGGAAAGTGCTCCCTCGTGCGCCGGCCGCCCACCCAGTGACCTGCCGCCCAGCAGCACCACCACTGGACCCCAGGGAATCCCCCCAGCACTCCAAAAGGTAAGGAGGCTGGGGGGATTAAATTTAAAAAAAAAAATGTTTGTGTGTTAGTGTGTGTATGTTAGTGTTTGTGTTAGTGCGTGTGTCAGTGAGTGTGTCTGTTATTGGGTGTGTGTCTGCTAGTGAGTGTGTTACTGTGTGTCTGTTACTGAGTGTGTTTGATGTCTGTTAGTGAGTGTGTGTTTGTCAGTGAAAGTGTATGTTTTGTAAGTGAGTGTGTATGTATGTCTGTCGCTGAGTGTGTCTCTGTCAGTAAATGTGTGTGTCTGCTAGCGAGTGTGTGTGTGTCTTCAGCATTTACCTTTCTCCAGCGTCGGACTCCCCAGTGTCCGCCTCTCAGCTCCGAATGCACATGCGCAGGCAAGAGGCATGCGCGCATTTAAACCGCCCATAGGAAAGCATTACTCAGTGCTTTCCTATGGACGTTCAGTGTCTTCTCACTGTGATTTTCACAGTGAGAATCGCGGAAGCTCCTCTAGCAGCTGTCAATGAGACAGCCACCAGAGGCTGGATTAACCCTCAGTGAAACATAGCCGTTTCTCTGAAACGGCTATGTTTTCAGCTGCAGGGTTAAAACTAGAGGGACCTGGCACCCAGACCACTTCATTGAGCTGATGTGATCTGGGTGTCTGTAGTGGTCCTTTAAGTGTGTGTGCATACTGCGGTCGTGGGGTCGCATGTGTTGCGGCCCCGACCCGCGCCGAGTGAGCGCGGGGGGGGGCCACGGATCAATTTTTGCACCGGGCCCCATGGGTCATGTGTACGCCACTGACTGACAGATACAGTACTGACACACACTCATACACTGACAGACATACTGAAACACACACACACACACTGACATACATTTAGCCACCATCCAACCTCCCTTACCTTTTCAGGAGTGTGGTTTCCTTGGGGTCCAGTGGCAGGCTGAGGCAGTTGCGAGTTGTCTTCTAGAACTCCCCTCCTCCATGCTTTCCTCCTCCTGCACAGCTATTATCTCCGGTGGGAGCAAGTGATGCGCGGCACTCAGTTCCTCCCAGCTGGCTCCCGAACAAGAAGGGTCCCGGCCGCGCTGTTTAAGCATCACAGCGCCTGACCAGGCCCCTGCTGACACATGCCTACCGTGTGGCCCTTTGTGCATGGGCCACCCGGGGGGCCTCCTTAGTGTGCGGGCACAGTGCCTGATCCATGGGGGCTGCGCAAAACGCGGGGCTCTGGGGGCAGCTGCTCAGGACCCCGCAGGAGCAACTGTGCCCGGGGCAACTGCCCCGTTTGCCCCGCGTTAAAGACGACCATGAGGACGACTGTATAAAATTATAAAATGTATTTAGAATCATTGAAATAACAACCCAGTCAAGAGATATACAGAGACAAAGTAGGAAATACTCCTACTGACTTTCTTTGACTCACGTGGGAGTCTAAGAGTCATTCTCTGCTGCTGTCATTAGTGATGGCTGCAGGGATTAGGCTGTATTTATGGAGGATCACGCAGTCTTGTGGGATCCACCACAGACCTTAATCCTGTACTCATGCGCAGAGAGGATCAGGATGGCAGCACATGCACGGGACAGGTTCAGGTAAATAAACTCACCTTTACCTGCCTCCCCCAGCCTCTGGGCCACGAGGAGCGATGTCACCGTTGGGGATTTTGTAAAATCGGCAAAATCCCCTAACTGTGACAGTGCTGCTTCAAGTGTAGTGGAGCTGTGTGCTTTATTAGCCTCTGCTCTCTTATTCACCCTAGTAAACTCTTCAGTTGTGTCTACTGGAGTGAGTGACTGCCCTAGAACCATTACATCACAATTAGTTTATCACTTGCCTGGCTCTTTCAGGCACCCTCATGTCCTCTAGCCTGCATTTGTATGCTAAAAGCGAAAGTTTATGCTGTCGAATTAGCATACCAACTAGTGACTCCCTGTATCTGTCTTGTTTTGATAAATATATACATCTCCATATAATGCTTGTTTTCCTTTACCATAAAGTTACTCTCTTGCAATGTGAAATCGTTTATTTCACCAATGTAAATATAAACAAAATCGTGATAAATTTAAAGCAGCACTGTCACCGTCTGTGGACTTTGCTGAACTCACTATGAAGATTACATTGCCACTGGTGGTCCTGGGGCTGGGGCAGGGAAAGGTAAAATTATTTACCTAAACCTGTACAAGAGTACAGCATTGAGGTCACTAGTTGGAATTTCAGTGAAAAAATTGCCACTAATAAGAAATTATTACTATGCTGAACTTATTGGTATCTAAGCACTAGTCTGCTTACAATTTTTAGCTTTCCTTTACATGTAATACCTACATTGTCTTTACATATCATTCATCACCTCATTGTGTATCAATTTCAGGAAAAAGTGACTTGACAGTAGATGCTCTGAAACTTCACAATGATCTCCAGTCAGGGTCACTGCCAATGCCCAAAAAACCTGGGGGCACACAAGAATACATGGAAGATGAGGTTGAGATGGCGATAACTGAGAAATCTGGAGTTTCTTTCCTAAGTGGATTATCTGATTGCACTAATCTTACATTTGGCAAAGTACAACGATACTGGGAGTCCAACTCAGCGGCTCACAAAGAGGTAAGTTGCCTGTAAGGGCCAAATCTCTAGAACAGTGCTTTCCAAACGTTTCATGTTGGTGACACACATTTTAGACATGCATCATTTTGTGACACAGTAAATCAGTTTTACTAATAAACTGGAGGTTAAACGACTGCTAACCCCCTTAAAAGAAATACGGATACATAAATCGTAATAATCAAAGGATTATGCGCACATTGAGATATTCGCGGTTATGGATGTTTGCGATATTTGTGATGCCACATGAACACAGCCCCAGTGCACACAGGTAGACACGCACGGTCACAGGCAGACACGCCGACACTCACACACATGCACGATCACGGATGGAAAGCCACACGCTCTGAGCGCTTGCCGGACGGATAGCGACACGTGTGGAGTGCGTGCTGGGCAGACAGCCTGCCCATGACTGTGTGTGTGTGACTGTCACACTCAAAAACACACACAGTCATGTGCAGACAGTCACTCACACACACACTACCAAACAAATCAATTTGATGGCTGACTGGAATTGAGTTGGTTAAAATATTTAGTTTTTCTGATTGTTTTTCAGATCTGTGCCGTGCTGGCTGCTGTTACTGAAGTGATCCGGTCTCAGGGAGGGAAGGAGACAGAAACTGAATATTTTGCTGCTCTGGTAAGTGAATGTCGACGTAACACTTTTTTTCCCACATAGTTATTTTAAATTAATACTAAATAAAACTTTTTCTTTGTAGATGGTTTATTTGAAACCTTTAATGCTATCAGGACTTAAAATTTCAAAACCTATACTAATAGCTAGTCCTTAGACGTTATACTTCTGTGCAAGACTGGAGGTTCCATGGCACACACAACCAGGGGGGAATTTTCTACTTGAAGGACTAAATTTGCAATCGCTAGAGGATACTACGTGATTCATTGAATACATGACATTAAAATAAATGGCATTACATGGACCGAGCATAGTACATAGAAGCCATTATAGAAACAAATTCAGGACCTCAAAATGATCATAGCATCAACCAATTGCAAATAAGTATTTACAGGCTGTTGCTATTGTCAAACAAACTGCTAATTACAATCAAGATGTGGGCACCGATCTAGGTTAGGGATAAGGATTTTTCTAGGCTTGATGGAAGCCAACCAGTATTCATAGTATTGGATCGGGTTTGTTCTCTTCCTGCTGGAGTTTCGCTGCCCATTTTCTGTAGGGTCTTTGTTTGAAAGACATAGCTTCTACACACTAGCAGAAATGATACAACATTTATGGGGCATCTTTCCTTATTAATTTTAGATGGTCCTACTGGGGATTGGGGTGTTATTTACTGGCACCGCATTTTCTGTTCTTACATTGTCCCTGTGCCTAGTCAATGTTTTTGATCTCATGGTGTGTTTTCCCATTTAGATGACTACACTAGAAGCAGTGGACACCCCAGAATCCCTGGCTGCCGTTGCTTATCTGCTTCACCTGGTTCTCAGAAGGTAAGCCATGATATTTTATTTATTTGTTTTTAGCTGGGCTTCTCTGGAGACCACCAATGGGTCAGGATGGGCAGTGGTTGCTATGCTGGGGGGAGCAGAAAGACTTCCTTTTGGAGATATTGTTTGTTCTCCCTTTTCAATCAAATCTTTGGCATAGAGTCCATGCCAGAGAATTGATTAACAGGTGGGAAAAATAACTTTTTAAAAAAATAAGATTTTATCCCTATTTATACATTTACTAACAAATCTGCTAGCACAATGTATAGCTGGAATTTGATGTTCTTTCAAAAGATCACAAACAGTTCTGGGCACGAAGAAGCCTTTTAAATTCCAATGGGGTATGCTACACCCACCTTACTGCAGTGTGGGAGTCACTAATGATCTTCCATGTCTCACTTGCCCTCCCATATGGACACATGCCTTTTGTAATGTGATATAGCTTCTCCAGAATATCATTCATTAAGGCTTCCATCAAAACTGGGAACAAACGGGATACCTTGGATTCTCCTGATAGTAAAGCTGGTGAATTATATATCATAGTCTCAGAAAAGCTAAAACCTCACTTCTTCTGCTTGAAATTATTTTTTTTTTCAGAAAGACATATTAGACAGAATTCTGGCCCTAATAGAATTAAGGGAGTATATTCTCGCCTCATCTTTACAAATAAGCTAGGCATATTTTTCATCCTATGCTAAGAGGTTTGTATAAAAACTACTGTCAGTCACTCACATTCTGCAAAGAGAAACCATACACCTGAAGGCTACCTACATGTTCCCATGACTGTCAAATCAAGTAAATTCCTCAGATTGTCAATGTTCAAAAGTAAGAGTCTCCTACTTTCAATTCTTGTTGATTCCATTTGGCCTCCGGAATAACCACAAATACATCAGCATAACTTGGCCTGAAAGAGTAGACCGCAGTATCTACGATGTGAAAGATTTGCAAGGAAGTGAAACCCCCCCCCCTTTTTTTTTCCTTCTAAAAGGTTCATCAGTATAGAAATGTCTTCGTGCGTTATTTGTTTGCACCTTTTCCATTGAATGACCGAGCTTTTTTGCACCTCTTCCTTATCAACCTAGTGGTGCTCACACTGCTGTTTTTATTTCCTGTCTTTTAGGGTTCCTGGCCCGGTATTGATCAAGAAGTTTTCAGACACATCTAAGGCATTAATGGATATCCTGGCCACGCAAGCTAATTCTGGAGGCAGCTCTGTGGGCCGTTGGGTATGTGTTAATGACTATAAATAGAGTCTTGTGTTGTGCTATATGCTGCCCATTTCTTACACCAGGGCCATGATCTGCCCAATGAACCATTAGATACAGTATTAAGTGTATTGCATGAAATTATTCCTAACTGGTTCAAACAAAATGATTTCAATATTTTCTTTCTTGCTCTCTCCAGATAGTGTCTTGCCTGTCTGTCCTGCTACGCAAGCAGGAGCTTTCTGCATGGAGCTACCCATCAACTCTGCAGGTGTATCACGGAGTACTCAGCTTCACTGTCCACGCAAAACCTAAAGTGAGTTTAACGTCTTTCCGAAATTCCCACCGGGCACATTGTCATTTTACTTGGCCAGCAGTTTGTTAAAGTGCTTCCGTAAACAAATTTGTTATGAACAGCACCTATATAATCGTTTATTTGTATTTATTTTACTTTTTTTTTTTTTTAAGTTTCATATCCTGTCTTAATACATTTCCAATGTTTTCCTGGCTCTTGTAAAAATATATATTAACAGCATGCTGGTACAGCCTATCTGGCTTACTCTGTGATTGGCAACCTTCGGCACTCCAGATGTTGGGACTACATCCCCCATAATACTCCTACACCCATAATGCTGGCAAAGCATAATGGGAGGTGTAGTCCAAAACATCTGAAGTGCTGAAGGTTGCCTGTACCTGGTCTAGATCAATGGGTTATTGGCTTGGCACTACACAGGTTTCTGAAGAACATTTCCAATGAGTCTTAAGGGCATCATGGGAAATTTAGTGCAAAAACATCTGGTGTGCCAAAGTTGGACATCACTAATGTAGGAGGAGGAATGCGTCAGTGACCAATCAAAATCAACCATGTGTTAAAACAACGTTATATATGCTTATATGTATGTACACTCATCAGTCACAACTTTAAAACCACCAATAGGTGAAGTGAGAAACATCAATTATATTGCTACAATGGCACCCGTCAAAGGGTACAGTATATTTGGCAGCTAATGAACAGTCAGTTAATGAATTTCATGTGTTGGAAGCAGGAAAAATGGTCAAGCGAAAAGATCTGAGTGACTTTGACATTGGCCAAATCATGATGGCTAGAAGACTGGGTCATAGCTTCTAAAAAAAATGACAAATCTTGTGGGGTGTACTTGGCATTCTGTGGTTATCCACCAAAAATTGTACAAGTAACGACAAGGCTCATTGATGCATATAAGGAGCGAAGATTAGCCTGTCTGGTACAGTCACACAGAAAAACTAATGTAGCTCAAATTGCTGAAGAACGTAATGCTCCCCATGAAGGAAAGGTGTCAGAAGACCCAGTGCATTGCGGTTATCTTCGAATGAGGCTGCATAGCCCATAGTGCAGTAAGCGTCAGAACTGGACCATGGAACAATAGTAGAAGGTTGCCTGATATGATGATTCACATTTTCTTTTAGATAATGCATGTGATTCGTTTACCTTTGGGAGAGATGGCAGCATGATGCACTATGGGAAGAAGGCAGGCTGGTGGAGACAGTGTTAAGCTCTGGGCAATGTCCTGCTGGAAAACCTTGGGTCCTGGCATTTGTGTGGATGTTACTTTGATGCATATCACCTACCTAGATATTTTTGCAGAACATGTACACCCCTTCATGGCAATGGTGTTCCCTGATAGCAGTGTCCTCTTTCAGCAGGATAATGCACCCTGGCACACTGCAAAAATTGCTCAGGAATGGTTTGAGGAACAAGACAGAGTTCAAGGTGTTGCCTTGGCTTCCAAATTCACCAGATCTCTAACCGACTGAGCATCTGTGAGATGTGCTGGAAAGACTTATACAATCCACAGGGCCCCCGCCTTGCATCTTACACGGCTTAAAGGATCTGCTGGTAATGTGTTTGTGTTTTATATAACAGAAGACACATTCAGATCTGTTCTGACCGCCCAAGGGGGACCTACATGATATTAGGCTGTGGCTCATCAGTGTATATTGGGGCTTAACATTTCCACAGTGGAAATTCAACTCTAGTGAGTTTCCCATGGAATCCATACCAACTATGCCGATCTTGGTGTTGTTTGAAAGCAGCAGCTTATTGTAACAATGGCTGCACAGCTGATAAACTGTAGACATCGTGAACAACATTGAACTGTAGAGGAGGGCAATGGCCTTATACAGCTCTGTAGACACCTGCCCATTAGTCACAAGTTCTCACTAAGTCACTGTGCAGGACTTAGACATCCTGCAATAAATAGTCTGATCATCTCCCAGACAAGAGGAGAAAGAGCATAAGTAAGTTCCTCTCTCTAGACTTTAAAGGGATAATCATTAATGTCAAAGAAATTGTTCCCATAACTTCATTGTGAATAACTTGTAAATGGTGTAGTATATGATTAGAATTGTATGTACATGTTGATAAACAGATTTCCTTGCAAATGTATACCTGGAAAGTTTAGTCTCATTTTATTTTTTCGATTTCCTTAACATTTTGTTGTTATGTCATTGCCATACAGGCAGAGAGTGCAAATGTATAGTCTATTGGCAACTGCTTAAGATCCGTATAAAAGGAACATTTCCAGAAAAATAAATCTATATTCATACTGTCCTTCCTGGTAATTGTGGTTGGCAATATTGCAGGTGCTGTGATGCTTTACACTATGTATTTCTCACTCTTTCAGCTGATAAATTATCATTCTTTACGATCTATTTCAGATCTGGAAGTCCATGTGTTCAGCTTTGTAAGCTGTTCCACAGCCAGTTGGATTTCCAAAATAACATGCAGGGTTTTTCAATCAATACCAGATTTCAATACCAGATTTTAGCTAATTAAATCTAATTTGCTAAATTGATACTAATATAGCTAATCTGAAAAAAACTTGGATGTTACAACTGCAGTTTTGCCATTTACATTTATTTTTCTAAAATTCGGTCTTTATTAAATAACGTTGAGGTGGTTTTTATAAATCGCCTGGAGTGGGGATTGCTGACTGGCTTTTCTCTCCTAAATTCTTCATCTTACACCAAGGATAATGTTTTTGGGCAATGTAAAAATAATGAAATACAACTAGGTATTTGTGATTTTTATCTTCAGATCAGGAAGGCTGCCCAACTTGGTATCTGCTCTGTCCTAAAAGGCAGTGAGTTCATGTTTTCAGAATCAGCACCAAGCTACCATCCTGCGGCTCCATCCACCGCTAAATTCTGCATCCAAGAAATTGAAAAGTCTGGAGGTAAGTGTACCTGATACATTGTTTGCATTACATGAATGTTATGTGAGGTGCTTGGGTTAATCACAGCAGATGAGCACTGTGGATATTATCTGCTAAATTGCGAAGCTGATCACTTAGAAGAGTAGTAGGGTAGTCTTTCATGTGTTTGTTATAGAGTGGATGAAACGTTTTGGTGAGATTGAAGTATAGCACATTAGTAAGTGTTCTTGTTTTGACATTTGTTTTGTTAATTTAATTCACAGAAGATTGTTAGGAATTCTATGGTCCGGGAGGCCTTTTAATTTTATTCTAAGATAAGCACCAAATTTGTTTATAATTATCAGCTCAAATACTATTGCCATCCTTGGGAGGTAGTGTGCTATTTTATTACCCCATGCAGTATAGACATAGTTTGTTTCTTATATTTTCCTCCTCACTCTAATCAGGTAGTAAAGAAGCCACGACCACGTTGCACATGTTGGCCTTACTAAAGGACCTTCTACCCTGTTTCCCTGTCACTGTTACAAAGACTTGTTGCGAGACCCTGCTAAAGGTCATGACCTTAAACAACGTGGTAAGTACTTGTGAGCGTTACGCGTTATATCAGCTGCCTGTCCTTAAGCTACACACATAGCATTTACCACCCTCAGTACTGGTGGTTATCTGTTGCAGGCACTGAATGTCCTACGTTTTAATTGGTACATGTCTCTCTTTTTTCCAGTTAATCACAGCGTGTGCGATGCAGGCGTTCCATAGCCTTTTCAATTCAAATTCACTCCCATCTTCGTTGACTCCTGAGCTCAATGCTCAAATCATCACAGTGAGTGTGAACCATAAAAAAAAAAAAAAGACTAAAGTCTATTGAAACTAGATTCATGACAAAAGAACATATTTTAATATTTCAACTCCCCCCTTCCCCGTGGCAGGAAAACAATCCTTTCTTTTCATGCAAAACATAATTTTGAAAATTTTAAACTACAATTATCCAGTCATCTCTTTTCCACGACCCTCATCCATCTTTTGGAAAATCTTGCCATCTGTAATCTACACACTTTTGAACTGTCATTCTAAAAGTAGTTTTTTAGTAATGTTTATTTTCTTAACATTTCTAGCTGTAAGTTTTGTTGGTTTGTTTTGAGATTGACTTTTCTGCGTTAAATGTATACTTATTTTTATTTTATTTATTTATTTTGCCGTACATATAGATATAACACACATGCTTGTGGTACCCCGACGGCATTCCACTTGCTTATTTTAAAACATTTGTAACAGGGGCATACATTAACAATGCACATTTTTATGTATGAGTTGAAGGTTATCATGTTTGACGCATACTTTACATTCACAACACTCATTGATGCATACAGGCTTGTCACAGGCTGCCCTTCTCACCTGTATGTGAGAAGGTAGTTATAAGTTTGTGCTGTCTTATGATTTGATGTATAGCTTAACCAACATTTGTTCTATAAGTGTTAAACAGGCTTGAGTTAGCACAGTGGTTGTACTAGCTTGGTGAATGGTCATTGATAGCAGGTACTGGGCTCTAGATTGGTGGCTATATACATGCAAGCTGCATAGAGTCATGGTTGCAGGGGAGGATTCATGGCTAAGTGAACTGACTTATTTTTTTTTCTCTTATTCCCATACAGGCTCTTTTTGACTACCTTCCAAACGAGAATGATTTGCAGCCTTTGTTGGCTTGGCTGGCTGTCATGGAGAAAGCTCATATAAACCTGTCTAGGTAAATGTGGTCATTTAGTTATTTCTGTATAATTGAAACGCACTTGTGCACACTCTTCTATTTACCTTTCAGAGAAGGAACATTATACTTTTAAAGGACATTCTTAGTACCATAACCACTATAACTCATTGGAGTACCCCAGTGGCATGGGGCTGAGTGTGGCGGTCTAAACCAATCTTTCCATTCCTACATTAGCAGATCAGCATCCAGGATAGAGGTGCTAAGAGAGCCCTATTTTAAAAAAAAAATCAGATTTGCAAATAATTCGGCATAAGCTAAATGAGTTGTTATGGTGCTTAAAATGTCTCTTTAAAGGGAGGTGATACTAAAGCATTAATCACAACAAAACAGCTGGAAAGAGGGCCATAGCCAAATATTCTACTGGAAAAAAATGTTTGGGGTATTTTGTCAAAGTTAAAGACGATCTGTATATGAGCTACACTATGTGAGAGACATGTCCTCTTCTTACTTGATTCTAACCCTTTCATCGCAAAATAAATGTTTTATATTTAAGGTTGAACAGTGAGCTTTGCCTGGGTCACCTTCCTCGTCTCTTCTCTACGGCTATGAACTGCTTTTTGTCTCCTCACGGACAAGTTGTATCTGCAGCTGCTAAGTCATTAAAGGTATGACTTCAAATCTAAACTCTCACCCTTGGTAATGCAATAATTGACACTGTCGAGGAAGGACAGAGAACAAAAACCAGAACCAATTTGCTTTTTCTTTCTCATGGAATAGTAGTATTAAGCTGCCTGTGAGCCAGGCAGAGGGAGCTTTGCCACTTGCTGTGTAATTACCCAACCATGGGTAGCCTGTCAAAGGTGTTTGGGCTAGCATATTGTGTTTGCACCCTATGCAAAGGTTACACAAACTGATATTGCCAGACAGGAAAAGCGTATACTAGCCAGTTAGACACATACATAAAATGTATTTATCTCCAGAATTAAGCATTATTATAAAGAAAGGATCTAGGGAGATGGTCTTTGCACCCTAAACGTTTCAGTAAAATGATACCCTTTTACAATTCCCGAGTAAATGATACATACATGTTGCTTGAATTTGTATATGGAATACTTGCACTGCTAACAATGATTGGTTTATTTGCCGCAGGCAAGAAAGATATATAAACATTTTTAAAGGGACTCAAATACAACTTTAGCGTAATGAAGCTGTTTTGGTGTATAGATCAAGTCCCTGCAGTTTTATTGCTCAATTCTCCTCCAGTTAGCAGTTAAATCACTTTTGTTTCTGTTTATGCAGCCCTAGCCACACCTTCCCTGGCTGTGACTCACAAAGTATGCATGTAATGGGGAAAAATAAAATGGTTTCATTTTTGAATCAGCTGTTAACTTGCTTTAGAAGTTTTTAATTACCTGCTCTGTAAATTGAACTTTAATCACACACTGCAGGAGGCTCCTGCAGTATCTAACAGACTAATAACAGAGCAAGAGATAAGACATTCTAAATTAAATAGACTGTGTAATAAAGGAACTTTAAACATTGGATCTCTCTTTACAGGAAGTGTTTATGAAGGCCGTGCAAGTTACATGCAGGGAGGTGTGACTAGGGCTGCATAAACAAAGTGATTTAACTCCTAAATGACAGCGAATTGAGCAGTTAGACTGCAGGGGCATGATCTGTACACCAAAACTGCTTAATTAAGCCAAAGTTATTTTAGTGACTATCGTGTCCCGTTTAAGTAATGCACCTATGATTTTTCTGCTGGAACGTTTTTACGGTGCAGTTTGTAATTTGAGTACATCTGTAAAGGTTTTTTTTTTTTTTGGTCTTAGTCTCTCCTTTCAGAATGCGTTGCTCCTAATTCAACCAGTATAGAGTCTGTCTCTTCCTCTCCAGCGACAGGTCCTGCTATGCACCTCTGTAAAATGTTCAAGTAAGTCGTTTTCCATTTTTTTTTTGTTTTTGTTTTTTTTTTCTTTAACAGATTTTTCACCATTCTGTGTAGAGATGCTTTTATAATCTGTTCCTCATTGCTGTGCAAAAATGGGCTGAGCTCTGGGCAGCAGTCACTGCCCTATTCTTATCTGTACATTTACCAAAAGTTAGTCTTCCTTTAACCCCTTAAGGACCAAACTTCTGGAATAAAAGGGAATCATGACATGTCACACATGTCATGTGTCCTTAAGGGGTTAAAGTGCTTTAAGTCCAAGAGTGAACTCACAATGTAGGAAGTTCCAAAAAATTAAGCAAGATACCAACTTGTAAAGGGCAAACATATCCTTTAACTATGTTGCTGACTGTTTTAACAAACATCAAACAGTCTAGTCATCAAAGCATTAAATATTACACGTTTATATTTCACTTTTTGTTTTTAGGGTTGTTGAGGACGGTTTATCATACAAGTTTCACGCGTCCTGGCCCTACGTCCTTCAGCTGTTGCAGACGTTCTTCGAGGCTGCTGGAAGGTCTTGCCATCCTTTCATGAAACAAGTAAGGGCCTTGTTGGAAATGCTGAGCAGAAGGTGGAACTTTTTTAATCTATTGTCCCAGCCCTGGCCTTGGTGTAGCATGCAGGCATGATATATCACACGTCCTGATTGATGGAATGTCCTTTTATTGTAGTGTTTGCAGACCCTTGCCGACTTGCGTGTTTCTGCGCACTTTCCGTACACGGCGGATCTGGATCGTGCTGTGGGAGCGGCTGTAGAAAGCATGGGGCCGGAAGTTGTTTTGAAAGCCATTCCATTACAGATAGATGGCACAGAGTAAGTATTTTGTTTTATTGCAAGGCTGCAAGTTGTTTCCTCTTTATTCTTCGTGTACTTTTCGATTAGATTTATAAAATATTGTGATAAGAGCATTTAGTGATTTCTGCACCTAAAACAAATTACTTAGACTTAATTTCAAGTTGAGCATTTACATTTTAGTGTAAAAGTAATATAAGGTTGGTATGATTTTTTTCATTTTTATTGTGTATGTGTGTAAAACAGTCTTCTTTTGATTAGAAATCCATGTTGGTATCACAAAACTAAAAAAATAATATATTCACAACAGACTGCTTAATAGACAAAAAAGTTGGTTGGTCAAACCTGCAAATTCTATCTTCAACTTCCATTTCTAAAGTAAACTGAGTGAAATTCACAGATATTTAAATACACAGCGGTGACTGCAATGAAATTGGGAAGATTTTTTGCACATGCTTGTGATTTCACGTGTACCATGCAAATAAACGCATGCAGTGTCCGTGCTTCTTCCAAACTTTGTGTGAGCGGACACTGACTAAGAAAGACTGCTGGCTCAAAGAAAAGAACCTGCAACGGGCAAATTTTAAAAAGTTTTTTATGTCATTTTAGTTTTCTATTATTTATATTTTTCCACATTTTTAAATGTATAGTCAACCTAGGGACGAAAAGCTACTTTTTTTGTTTTTTTTTGTTTTTTATACTTACATTTGTTGTTCTATTGTCAGGGACCTGAGTGACTTCCCTCGGAGCTGGCTTGTCCCTGTGATTCGGGATCATGTTAAAAATACAGAACTTGGGTTCTTTACCCGGTACTTCCTTCCTCTGGCTGTCAACGTTAAGAATCGAGGTAATTCTTGTTGGTTGTTACTTCAGACTCTCAAGGTTCATATTGCTGTCTGTGGTTATTGAGAAAAGGTCTGATCTGCTTGCACACTTGTAGGGTTTTTGTTTATTCGATGATTCTTACCACTTCTTAGACTTTTCCTGGCACACAAGAAGTGAAGTGGTCTATCCTTCCTCTGCTGTGATAATAGTCTAATGTAACTTGCAATTCTGATACTGAAGAACAGTTTATTCAGTTATGACCGTATAAACTTGACAAACATTGTAAATTAAATTCTTAACCCCCCCCCCATTTTCTTATGTGTTGTTCGGATTTTCTATTTTAGCTGTTGAATTAAGCCAAGCTCAGAGAAATCTTGAAGCCAAAATCTGTGAGACTCTTCAGTGGCAGGTGAGCAATTATTACTTAATTCAACTTTAGTAGCACATAACAAATAATCAGTGAAACATTTCTGAGACCCAATTTTGATTCTAAATATGAAAATTGCCAATGAGGTCAGAATGCAGACCAGGCAGCGCACACAGTGTGATGACTGATGACATCACTGCTCTGTGCAGGGAGTGAAGTGGTAGCCTTTGGTCGTATGCTACCTCAGTCCCACCAAAGGTGAATAAATATGGCAGAGGGATCTAGTGTTCTGTAAAAGTAGGGGCTCGATTTTCAGGTTTTTCTTTACTTACACTTCATTTAAAAAAATAAAGTTGTATAATTTCATGACGCGCTGCAAGGATTCTTGTAGTTAAGCATATAATTTCTTGTGACAACTGTCCTGTAACGTGTTAATTACATCTATTTGGACACCGAAATGCATATATTTACATGACTCCTGTGAGCCACTCACCACCGAGTGACTTTCGTTTGCTTTAATATCAGATAACACACTCAGCTCATCAATTCTGTTCAAATTTCGTAATTTTGTTTTTTTCTTATGTCACTTACTAACCCCTGGGTTGTAGCCAAACCATTGAAAAATAGCTTACTAGCAACATAACCACTAAAACAGGCAGTAGTAGGTCTCATTCTTACAAACTTCCTGAATAAAAGGGAATCATGAGATGTCACACACATGGCATGTGTCCTTAAGGGGTTAAAGGAAGTCTAAAGCATTGGTAGTATAGTGTCACCTCCGTGTGCCATAAGAATGAATAAATTCAAAGCTTTCCTGATCTTTAAAAATAATTGCATGGTTAAACGGACAGGATCACTGCACCCAAACAACTTGAGACTTTAGTTTCCCTTTAAATTAACAAAAGCTTAACATAATTCTCATTTATGGAATTTAACAAAAATTATATATGTTGGATTTATTTTTAAACCTAAACAAAGCCTTCATTGTTTGCTGAGGAAAGGGTAATGTGTGGCTGTTTTAAGCACTAATTTCTATACTTAATTATTTTTTTTATTTTTTTTTCTCCTCCTGCTTTTTTGATTTTTAGATCTGGACAATGCTGCCTGGATTCTGCACTAAGCCTACAGACGTAACCACATCTTTCAAAAGCATTGCTCGTACTTTAGGGATGGCAATCAATGACAGACCAGACCTCCGTCTCACTGTGTGCCAAGCTCTGCGCACTCTCATAAGCAAAGCCTGTGAGGAAGGTAAGGAAACTGGGCTTTGTTTTACAGTGTTATTTAGAATATGGTGACACCATTTGCATTACTGTACCGCATGGCTTAGAATTTACCATATCGTAATAATTTTTTATATATATTTTTTTATGCTGGCTAGTATTTTTGGTCTCAGCACCTTCATTAAACTGAGTGATATAAAACGAATCTGTGATGGATAAAAAATAATTTTAAAGAAAATTGTAGTAACACATTCGTACTACAATAACATGTTTTAGGCAAATTAGGTATACATCGAGGGCAGCAGTAGTGATTAACTGTTTACAATAATAAAAAACAGCAATGTACAGACCAGAGTTTGCCAGCAGTTATCCCTCTAACTAGTGATGAATAACATTGGTTCGTTACAATGTACTTGAACTACTTTTCCCTTATGTCTTGATAAGAGCCAGTATGATTCGAAGCACAGTGGGAGTTTTAACCCCTTCAGGACGGGTGACGGACGAGGTCCGTCACAGAGGGGAGACCCTTAACGACGGGTGACGGACCTTGTCCTTCACGCGGTAAAATTAACCCCGGATCGCCGCGATCGCGGGGTTAATGGTGCTCCCGGTATACCTCTGCATTAGAGGCATACCGGGAGCACCCGGTCAGGCTGCCCAGCACATGTGCTCGCTCTGACCGCAAGTCTGAGCGAGCACATGTGCTCTGTATACTCACCTACCGGCTCCCTGCACTTCCGGGTTCTGTGTGAAGTGCAGGGAGCCGGATCAGTGCTGATCCTGCCCCCTGCTGTAAAAAAAAATAAAGTTAATTTAAAGTGTCCCCCCCCTTACCCATTTTAATAAAAAATTAACCCCTTCCCTGCCAATTGATCACTGACTACAGTGATCAATTGGCAGGGATTACATTTTACTATGATCTGATTTTTTTTTTTAACCCCTGAGGGTTAATTCTTTTTTTTTTAACCCTCAGGGGTTAAATTAATTAAATTATTTTTAAATTATATATTTAGATAGCTGGGGTGGGTGGAAGTTAGTGGGGAATTGGGGGATTTGGCGTTAGGCTAACTAGGGGTTAACGTTAAAAAAAAAAAGTTTTAAAAGAAACTTTAAAAAGTTAAAAATTAAGCTTAAAAAATGTTTTAATAACATTTAAGTAAAAAAAAACACTTTACCTAGTCCAAATAAAAATTAACCCCTTCCCTGCCAGTCGATCACTGCCTACAGCTATCAAATAGAGATCACAGTATTATACTGTGATCTAATTTTTTTTAACCCCTGAGGATTAACTTTTATTTATTTTTTTAACCCTCAGGGGTTCAATTTATTTAATTAATTAATTTAAATATTTTATAACTATATATTTTGCTAGCTGGGGTGGGTGGGAGTTATGGGAAAATGGGGAATTTACTGTTAGTGCTGCGTACTGCTAGTTAGGGGTTAACGGTAAAAAAAAAAGCTTAGAAAAATGTTAAATCTGTAAAAAAGTTTTAAGAAAGTTTAGGAAAGTTTAAAAAAAATTTATAAGCAAAACAAAAGTTTAAAAACTAGTTTTTAAAAGTAAAAAAGTTATAAAAAGTAAAAAAATACATTTTAAAAACGCTCATTACCACTACACCTGGAACAAACTAGAGAAAAAATTATCCCACGCCAAGGTTCAAAATATGCCTTTTGAATTACCCCAGGGTGTATTCTTTAATAAATAGTATGTGTTTGTGGGGAAGTTTCAATAACCAACCGTCTAAACTACTCCAAATTGGAACATGGACACAGCGTAAAACTTCAAAGTTAGAAAAAAACTGAATGGCTGCGTCTCAAATGCGCCCCTTCAACATCCACATATACCTGGCAAAGGTACATACGGGGGTATTGCTGTACTCAGCCGACATAGCTGAGCAACATATGAAGTATTATACAGTCGTAGCACACATAAGGTTTGCAAAATATACTGTGCAAACTCACTTTGTATGTCAAAAGGCAGAAAAAATGCTTATTACCACTACACTTGGTACAAGCTAGCGGAAAAATGATCCCACGCTAAGGTTCAAAATATGCCTTTTGAAATACCCTGGGATGTCTTCTTTAAGAAATGGTATGGCTTTATGGGGAATTTGGATTATATAGCCTGGTAAAATACTCTAAAATGGGACATAGGCACAGCATAAAAATTCAAAGTTTGAAAAAAACTGGAATGGCTGTGTCCCAAATGTGCCCCTCCGATGTCCACACATACCTGGCAAAGGTACATACGGGGGTATTGCTGTACTCAGCCGACATAGCTGAGCAACATATGAAGTATTATACAGTCGTAGCACACATAAGGTTTGCAAAATATACTGTGCAAACTCACTTTGTATGTCAAAAAGGCAGAAAAAACGCTTATTACCACTACATCTGGTACAAGCTAGCGGAAAAATGATCCCACGCTAAGGTTCAAACTATACCTTTTGAAACACCCTGGGGTGTCTACTTTAAGAAATGGTAGGCCTTTGTGGGGTAGTTTGAATTTAAAACCTGCGAAGATGCTTGGAAATTGCACATAGGCACAGCGTCAAAATTCAAAGTTTGGTAAAAACGGATATGGCTTGGTCTCCTATATGGCACTGTAGCTTCACAAAATAGTGACAAAGACATTCATTGGGGTGTATTTTTACTCAAAAGACTTAGCTGAGCATAATTTGGGAGGTTTGAACTTAGTGGCACATATGAAATATACAAAACGCCCAGCAAAAATGCAATCCGTATGTAAAAAATGCACAAAATAATTTTTTTACCACATACTTTGGCATATATTGGTGAAAAAATGGGGGTATGTTAAGGCACAATATGCACCTTATGAGATACCCTGGAGTGTCTACTTTTACAAATGGTAGGCCTTTGTGGGGGTTTTTTGAACAGTCAAACTGTTATAATACCCCAAATGGAAGCTAAGGCTCATTAAATCCATCTCTCAAAATTCTACTATGAATACTGTAAAGGACAGGTCTCCTATATGGCACTGTAGCTTCACGAAATAGTGCCAAAGACATTCATATGGGGTGTCATTTTACTCAGAAGACTTAGCTGAGCATAATTTGGGGGGTTTGAACTTAGTGGCACATATGAAATATACAAAATGCCCAGCAAAAATGCAATCCATATGTAAAAAATGCACAAAATTATTTTTTACCACATACTTTGGCATATATTGGTGAAAAAATGGGGGCATGTTAAGGCACAATATGCACCATATGAGATACCCTGGAGTGTCTACTTTTACAAATGGTAGGCCTTTGTGGGCTTTTTTTGAACAGTTAAACTGGTATAATACCCCAAATGGAAGCATAGGCTCATTAAATCCATCTCTCAAAATTCTACTGTGAATACTGTAAAGGACAGGTCTCCTATATGGCACTGTAGCTTCACGAAATAGTGCCAAAGACATACAATGGGGGTGTCATTTTACTCAGCAGATGTAACTGAACACAAAATAAAACTTTGTACAGGAATAGCACACACCAACTTTACAAAATATACACGAGAATTTCTCTGTTATAAGTTTGTGTGCCAAAAACCAAAAAGAACACAATTTTACTCCAATATTTAGCAGAGGTTGGCGGTGAAATGGCTACGTAGAAAGTGTCAAAACAACCTTAGGTAAATAGCCCGTGATGTCTACTTTATATAAATATATACTTTTGTGTGGCAATTTTGTTTTCTTTTATGGCTATTAAGCTTACAAGACAAACATACCAAATTCTAAAATCGTTCCACATTAAAAGTTTATTTTACTCCTTGTGCTTTGTGACCTGTAACTACCAAAAAAAACTTAAAATCCCAGACACATTATATATTCTGTAAATCAGAACAAATAAATAAATTTATTTTTAATTACTTTCCTTAACCTGCACTAATTATGCACACATTATTATTGCAAAAACTGTAAAAAAAAAAACAATATTTTTCATTTTTTTTGCATTTTTCTGTATTTTTTTTATAATAAGTAAGCATTTATATATATATATATATATATATATATATGTTATATCAAATTAAAGCCCTTTCTGTCCTTTAAAAACAGTATATAATATGTGTCGGTGCAATAAATGAGAGAGATGCAAATTGCAGTTGAACGCAAACAGCAAGAAAATGCAAAAATTGCTTGTGTCATTAAGCGTAAGTCAAGCTTCTGAAGCTGTGTCCTTAAGGGGTTAAGTGTTTATGCAAGTCCGTTCCCTTATGCTTTTCAGATTCTATTCATGTGTTTCATATTTATGTTGGCTTTATGTCCTTGAGACTTATAAATGATGTTAAGAAGTGTGGCTGCAAAAGTGCATGTTTATTGTTTTCTTAATGAGTTTTAAATGTTTTCCTTCTTTCATGCTTCCTTTCTGATAAACATGTTTACCTTTGCAGCAGAACATAATGTATAGAAATCCTGTACTGGCTGGTACAATTATCAAGAGTTTTGCTTTGTACAAAATAGGATGATGTGACATGTAGTTTAACTTTATCTCTTTGTGAATCACTTCTCCCTTCCTCCTCTTCCACTCCTGCAGAGGCTGACAAAGCTGAAGTGGGCCGATTCGCCAAGAACTTTCTCCCAATCTTGTTCAACGTGTACAGCCAGCCCCCTGGTGTAGGTGAAGGAGCAGCAACCAAGCTTCCAATATTGGACACGGTTAAAGCCTATCTCACTATTACAGACCAGCAGGTGAATGATCACCAACTGAAATGTGTCTCTTTTTCCTTTTTTTTTTTTGCCTTCTCTAAGTTTGAAATTATAGCTGGGCACATGGTACTGATGTGTTAAATGCCATCCACGAAGTGTGTACATGACAAGTTCTGCTTTCGGAATGCAATAAAATCTTAACCAGGGCTGACAATCACCAGTAAAGGTGTAGTTTGAAATACCTAACTGAAGGTTATATTCATGTTCCATCACACACAAAGTAGTTGCTTACAGCAAGCTGTTAATATTAGGGCACTATGCTTTAAGTGGTCCGATTACGGGATCATTTGCTATTGTTGTATGAATGGAAGATGGGACTGGTTTTAAGGTGTGTGCCTTAGGCAAGTATTAGACAACTGAGTGACATTTAGGCTAAAATAACTTATTTTTATTATTCTTTCCATCTATGCCGTTTGGCCACTGTAATGATTAAAAAAAAAGAAAATGTTAGGCTTGGTGCAGAGGATAGTCAAGGTAATCTGTAGATGAACAATAATTAAAGGATTTTCTTTTTATAAACGATCAACAGAATTTCAGTAAAAAAGTAGGGAGGAGCCAACTGTGGGATGGAAAGGGGTATGTGATTGTGTAGCATTTTGTTGGTAGAGTGAAAATCAAAAAATGTAATAATGATTAAACAATTGTAGGAAATAGGTACATGTGATATACTGATTACTGTAAAAATATTGCAGGATAATTAGTGAAAAATGCACGAAACACTGCAGATTTCAATCTTGATTTTAGCGTACATTAATTGTCAACAGAATGTCTTGCAAAATTAGGCTTTGTGCAGAGGGAAGCCAGTCGATATGGTGGATCTTAATTACCAGCACAGTAAAGGGACACTCTAAACACGAAAACAACTTTAGCTTAATGAAGCAGTTTTGGTGTATAGATCATCCCACACCCCGGCAGTCTCACTGCTCCGTTCTTTGCCATTTAAGAGTTAAATCACTTTGTTTATTCAGCCCTTTGTTATACACTTCCCTGCATGTGACTTACACATCTTTCCTATGCACTTCCTGTAAGGAGAGATCCGATGTTTAAACTTCCTTTTATTGCGCAGGGTGTTTTAATTTAGATAATTTTTTTTTTTTTAACGCTCTTGTCTCTGTTAATAGCCTGCAGAAGCCTCCCGTGTGTCATTTAAAGTTTTATTAACACAGCAGGACAAAATCCTCTAAAATAAATGCACTGCGCGTGAGTCCCTGTCTGGGGAGATGTGATTAGAGCTACAGAAACAGAAGGGATTTAATTGAGCAGTTAGACTGCAGGTGCATAATCTATACACCCAAGCTGCTTCATTAAACTAGATGTGTTTTTAATGCTTAGAGTACCCCATAAATGAGCAAATGGCACCCAGAATCTGTGGCTCCATAGCCTCTTCAATAATCTTCAGTGTTAATGGTTTTTAGTGCCCTTTTAAACAAGCCATCATAGTGATTTTCACATCTTTATAATACAGATTAATTAAATATACCCCCTATCTCCCTTCAAATGTAGTGTTTCTTTAAGGACACAGTATCTCGCTAGTGTTGTGTGGGTCTTGCATTAAACAAAATAATTACTTTTCAGAATGTCAGCTATATTTATTTTCTTGTAATTAACTGTTTTATTGTCATGTTAATCTTCTGCAGATGGTCCACAGCTTTTTGGACAAAGCATGTAGCAAACTGACAGAAGCAGAGACTACGGAGGCTATGAGGTATGGGTTACCCTCTTCATTGCCTTTTTGGCACACTATTGCTTCTTGAACACTCATTCACATTCTATGCATCTGTAGTTCTCATGAACCCAGGAATAGCTTACTGTTTAAAGCAAGCTTCACCAAACCCCAGCCCTCCAGATTTTGCTGAACTACAATTCCCATGATTCTATGAATAAAATGGGCTGAGAATCATGGGAGTTGTAGTTCTGCAACATCTGGAGGACTGGAATTTGGGGAAACCTGGTTTCAAGCGTCTAAAATTTCCTCTGCAACAGACATTTTTAACAGCTCATCATCACAGAGCTTGCATTGACAGCAGACTGCCTTGTTACTCAATGCTTTGTTTAGTAGTTAGACAGATGCATGTTGCTGCACAGGTTCTCCTGTTTCTTTAATTAATGAACTGTTATGGCAGATAATTGACAGACCTTGCCAGTTCCTTATGTAAGCTCCATTACCATTGCTGTAAAGGCTGAAAAATAAGGTGTGTGTATTTTACCCAGAGTAGGTGTGACTAGGGCTGCATAAACAAATTGCGTTAATTCCTCAATTGCAGATAATTGAGCAGTGACCCTACAGTTGATCTGTACACCACAACCGCTTCATCAAGCTAACATTGTTTAGGTAAATAACATTTAGGTTAGTTTCATCACATTTAAAAGTGTCCCTTTAACCCCTTCAGGACGGAGTCAATAGTACACGTTCTGATCAAAACAAAATGTAAACAAAAACTGGAATTTTCGCTATATGTCTGTTCAACCGTAATTCACCTCTTTCATATTATATGCACCCACACTTGTTATATATCATTTTCTTCAGGAGAAACTGGGCTTTAATTTCTCATGAACTATTCATAATTGAAACATAATTTATTATGAATAAAATAAAAACACTGTGAGAAATTAAGATTTTAAAAAAACATTGTAGACATTTTAGCTGTAAATGTCATGAATACTGTTTGATTGAACTGTAAAAAAAAAAAACACACGTATTTGGATTCAGCAAAGTCTCACGAGTACAACAGTACCCCCCAATAACAGTTTTTAACGGTGTTTTGGAAAGGATCAAATATAGCACATTCCATTTCAGTTTTTTCAAATTGAAATTTGCCAAATTAGTAATGTTACCTTTGAGACCGTGTGGTAGCCCAGGAATGAGATTTACCCCCATGATGGCATACCATTTGCAAAAATAGACAACCCAAAGTATTGCAAGTGCGGTATGTCCAGTCTTTTTTAGTAGCCACTTAGTCACAAACACTGGCCAAAGTTAGCGTTCATATTTGTTTTTGTGTGAAAAAAAGCAAAAAAACTAATATTTGGCCAGTGTTTGTGACTAAGTGGCTACTAAGAAAGACTGGACATACCCACTTGCAATACCTTGGATTGTCTACTTTTGCAAATGGTATGCCATCATTGGGGTAATTCTAATTCCTGGGCTACCATACGCTCTCAAAGGCAACATAACCAATCTGGCAAATTTCAATGGCAAAAAAATGAAATGCAAGACTTATATTTGACTCTCTAACTTTCCAAAACACCATAAAACCTGTAAATAGGGGGTACTGTTATACTTGGGAGACTTCACTGAACACAAGTATAAGTGTTTCAAAACAGTAAAACATATTACAACAATAATATAGTCAGTAAAAGTGCCGTTCATGAAAAATGCAAAAAACTTCACTTTTACTAAATATATCATTGTTGTAATAAAAGTTACCATTTTGAAACACTGCAATACCTTGGTAATAAAAGTTACCATTTTGAAACACTAATATTTGTGTTCAGCGAAGTCTCCCGAGTAAAACAGTACCCCCCCATGTACAGGTTTTATGGTGTCTTGGAAAGATCTCATTTTAATTAATTAAATCACATAATTATGTTAAAAGATTACTTAAATATACACATAGAATTTTAATATATATACATATATATGTATTTAAATTCTATGTGTATACTTATGTAATTATTTATGTAATTATATATATTTATCTTAATATAAATATTTGCAGTTATTTGTATTTTATATATAGATTGTCATTCTAAGTGTATTTTGTTATATATATATATATATATATTAACAAAATACAGTTAGAATGAGAACATATGTATGTAGAATTTATTTTTATTTTTTTTAAATATTTAATTTATTTTATTTGTTTATTGTAATTATACGTATTTATATATACATAAAATATATTATATATAATATATATATCTTATATATGTAACGTCATTCTAAGTGTATTTTAATACTAATATATGGACTTATATTAACATTAAAATACACTTTGACATTACATATATATGATGTATAGTGTGTATATATAAGATGTATAGTGTGTGTGTCTGTGTATATATATATATACTTTTAATTTTAAACATGTTTATTTTTTTTATTTTTACACTACCCACCAGCAGGGGGACTGTCTGACATTTCAGACAGTCCCCCTGCTGGCAGATCCACAGCCAGCTATAGGGGGCCATGTGATCGCTCTTTGAGAGCGATTACATGGCCCCCGGGTGCCTGATTTGCCAGGGGAGGGCTGCCTGGGCTGTCACGCAGTCCTCCCGAAGAGGATCGCAGCGGAGGTGAGTACCGTAACGGCATTAAGGGGTTAATATTGCAAATAATTGTACAGAGAAATATTTTGGCAGCAACAACTACAATAATAAGGATTTTGTGAGATCTTGTTTGTCCAGCATGGGCCGCTCTGCTCTCATTCTAAGGCATTCTCTATACATTGTTATATCTGTAGTTATTTACTCACTAATTTTGTCATTTTGCCACTGTATGTTACTTGTTAAATTTTTATAGTTTTTAGATTATTCTAATTCTGTCCCTGCATTTATTTGTTATTCATCAAACTTGATTGTAATTAAAGTCACACTTCAGGCACCATAACCACTATAGTACTATATCATAGTACTTTAGAGCAGGGGTGCCCAAAAGGTAGATCTCCAGATGTTGTAGAACTGCAACTCCCATGATGCTTTGCATGCTTTTAGAATACCTTCAGAATGGCAAAGCGTCATGGAAGCTGTAGTTTAAAAAAAATCTGGGGACCTACTTTTTGGTCACCTTTGCTTTAGAGCAGGAATTAGGCAACCTTCGGCACTCCATATGTTGTGGACTACATCCCCCATAATGCTCTTACACCCAGAAGGTAGGCAAAGCGTCATGGGAGGTGTAGTTCAAAACATCTGGAATACCGAAGGTTGCCTATGCCTGCTTTAGAGTATCTATGTCCAGTACAGTACTTAGAATGTTATAGATTATGGATGGATATATTTGTGTCCATTTTACACATTAAACCCTTGTTAAAATCTCCTAGATGTACACACACCTATCTTTGTGTTTTTTTTTTTATTGTACACAAACTTTTATAACTGACCAATCTTCTTCAGTTTGTATATGTTGGACCTGATTGTTGCCATGGTCCCTTATGCTGAAGAGGCTTCCATGACAAACGTTTACCAAACTATTCTGCCTTATCTGGAGGTGAGTTGCAGTCACGTTGAATATGACATTTAACAGATTTACGATATTACTGGTGTTAACTGCAAATGACTTTAATTGTGATGGCAGGAGAAAAACCACAGCGTGCAGAAGAAGGCTTACAGAGTCCTGGAGGAGATCTGTGCTGGAGAAAGACCCCCATGCAAAGATTTTGTGGATAAGAACCTGGAAGACCTGAAGAAAACACTACTGGGTTCTCTAAAAAGTGCTTCATCACCAGCTAAAAGAGTGAGGAACTGTATATATAATAGAAAATAAGCAATGGGGCATCTTGTCGGCCTTGCCAGACAGTATTTGTAAAAATATATTGATCATTTCCCCCCCTTCATTTCCATATATTGAGACTATGTTTTGCCACTGATGGAATTTTGTTTTTATTTAAGCCTGTCCATTTGGGTTTAGTCAGTGCTATTATTGCATTCTGTTTTCCTGCTTAAGAAGTGGATTGGTGTTTCCAATGGCCGTAATGTGTCACTGGGCATTTCTTCACCTAGAAAAATCCACTTGATTAAAAAATAACTATATGTCCATTGGAAACATATGAAGCCTTATATTTAATTTATTTATTTATTCTAATTAACTCTTTTGGTCGTTAAAAATCCTCCTCAAAAGACAACAAAAACCAGTAGAAATATGACCTATCCGCTTTAATTAACGTGCTTGGCACTTCTTAAATTTACAAAGTTTTTGTCTTAATTTCATTTTCTGGAGAACAAACATTTCCAGCGAACTCTAAGAGTTGGGTGTTTTATGTATTTGTGTGTAAGGGTTTGGAATTTGATAAGCGAGCTGCACTCTGCATCTGGAATCATTCTTTTAAACCTGGCTTTCTCCCCCACCTCTTCTTGACAGCCGCGTTTGAAGTGCCTGATCCATATAGTGAAGCAGCTTGGGGTTGACCATGAAGAATTTATGACATCCATAATTCCTGAGGTGAGGAACTTTTTTTCTTTTTTTTTTATCATCTATAGTTACCTGTGAAATGGTAATGACCACTTAAGAGTTAAGTAATATCATGTGCATCCTGTTGAGCCCTATACTTAACCCTATCTCTCCCCAAGTGGAGAACATTAAATGGACTTGTGAACGGCATAATGATCATACATTTTATCTTTGTCTCTTTTATTTTTGTGGCTGTATTTAGGATATCGAACTCTTGGTTCTGGTTAATGCCAAGATTTGGCTGCAAAATGTAAATTAGGACAAAAGTATTTTATTGCTGGAATCATTAGATGCATGTGGTATAAATAACAGCTTGATTTATGCGTGTGTACAGGAATCAAAATTTACGTTTGCCCATTTGTCACTGGTAAATATAAATTTAGCCTTGGCAAGTAGAAAATCACACCTGGTAAACGTGCCATTCTCTCTCTCGGCTTGCAGTCTCAAATAACTTTTTGACCCGTGTGTTATGTGGCTACAGAAGTTTTGAGCTGTGTAAATGTGTGTGTGTGTAAATATACAAAGCTCACAACTCAAACGCCTACTCTGCTTGACAGGCTTAAATGTTACTCATCATTCCAGCCATAAGAATCCAGTGCACACTCAAGTGGTAATTGTGGGGAAATCACAAATACCGTATATACTCGAGTATACGCCGACCTGAATATAAGTCGAGGCACCTAATTTTACCACAAAAAAATAGGAAAATTATTGACTCGAGTATAATCCTAGGGTGGGAAATGCAGCAGCTACCGGTAAATTTCTAAATAAAATTAGATCCCAATAAAATTACATTAATTGAATATTTATTTACAGTGTGTATATATATAATGAATGCAGAGTATGTGTGTGTTTGTGTAGTGTGTGTATATAATGAATGCAGTGTGTGTTTGTGTGTAGTGTGTGTATATAATGAATGCAGTGTGTTTGTGTGTATATAATGAAAGCAGTGCGTGTGTTTGTGTAGTGTGTGTAAACTGGGTGGGAGGAGGGCATTTTAATTTAAACTTTCAAATTTTTATTTAAATTAAAAAAAAACTCCGTTAACCTCTGTTCCGTTCAGCTCCCAGTGTAACTCTTGAGGTGTGCGTGCCGCGCGGAGCGTTGCCACGATAACCCGTGGCAACGCTCTGACGGCCGCGGGTCTCGCGAGATTTACTCTGGGAGGTGAACGGAGCTGCTGCAAAGGTAAGTAAACACTTTCTGCTGGTTTCCAACAGGACCGCCGGGCTTGTAATGAGCCTGGCGGTCCTGGTCTGTATTATGGCAATGTAAGTCACCATAGTACAGACAGTGACTCGAGTATAAGCCGAGGGGGGCTTTTTCAGCACAAAAATGTGCTGAAAAGCTCTGCTTATACTCTAGTATATATGGTGTGTGTATATATACATGCAGTGCTAGAATTTTCCTCCTACAGTACAATTTTTAGAAATGCATAATCAACTCAATGCGAGAGATTTTATTAAAATGTTTTGTTCAAAAGTAGAGCAGTAACCTTGGAAACCAGTAGAACCTGCAGTCTTATTCCATTGGTGACTCTTCCCCTTTAACATTTTTGCACACTTTTTTTGAACAGAACACTTTAATAAATTTCCCCAAATGTTTATATCCTCACTGTGAAAGGTTTGGGTGCTTAGTAGTGTGGATATACATTATTTTATTTCTTTTTCCTACAAATAGTTGCTAACCAAAGTTAATTTATAAATGAGAATAGATTAGGTTTGTTTTGTCCCCTCCCCCCATCCCCCAACACACACACACACACACACACACTGCAGGCATGCATTACAATAATTAGTGTTTTGGAAATTTGGTAACCAACTTTTTAAAAAATTTTTATTATTATTATTATTATTTTTTTATTTATAACATTGTTCTGTAAATAGGCACTTTAGTTCCATTGGAAATATGCAAAAAATAAATATAATAATAATCTTCTGGCCAGCAACAAAGTTATTCAGAGTCTTGTCACCTGATGTATTTCAGACGTTTAAGGGTTAATTTTAGCCAACATTCTATGAAAGAGAAATTGGTGTTCTTTTGTGATGAAAGTGCTATTCCCTTGTGCGCTTGTGTCATTACAAGTGACTGAAGATTGTGGGGTTTTTTGGTCAATGCTGGAGAAGCAAAGAAAGCCCTTTTATTATTTCCCTGAATAAACACCCCCCAGACCTTTCATTTCTAGGTCCTCCTAGACTCTCATGTGCCAGCCATCATATTGTGATGTTGCAAAGACGCATTACTTAACATAAATCTAATAATATTTTTCAGGTGATGATCTGTACCAGAGAAATGTCGGTGGGGGCACGAAAGAATGCTTACACACTCCTTGCAGAGATTGGTCATGCTTTCCTCCGTTTCAGAGATGACCCCAGAGGTATCCCATGAACTATATGTCTATGCAAAATATGAGCAGAGCCAGCATTGGTTTATTGCTGTAAAAGTTAGAAGATGTAGGAGATCTTTTAAATGACAATCTAAGCACCATAACTGCTACAGATTTTTGCAAGTAGTCTTTGGATGCAGTTTCTCTGGTGCTTGACAAGAAGTGGGGTTTGCCTTGTACCTAAAGCCTGACCTTTCTGCTGCTGAGATAAGTTTTGCTTCTGCATTATTCATTTAAATCTGACGTAATTACTCGTGTTGTGTAAGCCATTCCAATCACTTCCAGCATATCATTGTCACCTAAGCTATAGCGGCCTTGGCCACATACTGCAGTGAATATTCAGCGTTATCCACATGTCTCCTGAGGGTCTAAGGTTTAGTGGTGAAGGGAGCCCTTTAATGTTTTTCTAACCTTTTTAAAAACAGACAGAAAACTGTAAGACTGCACCCAATGACTCATAACACTGTTATGGACAAATGCAAATATTACAAGTTTTAGAATGAAATGTTGTATTTTTTAAACTGTGTACTTTGTCTTTTAGAGATATTGCAAACTGACAAGCTGTTAGAAATGGAACATATTGTTTTTCATAACTGTTTCTTTAAGCAATAACCCCAGTGCATAATATGTTTGTGCCATTTTGTCCCCACCCTCAGGGTCCCCCTCCCGCCCGGCTCTGGGGAAAGGAAAGGGGTTAAACTTACCCTTTTTTCCAGCGCCGGGCGGGGAGCGCGGGCATTCAGCCGGTCTCATAGGAAAGCATTTACAATGCTTTCCTATGGACGCTTGCGTCTTCTCACTGTGATTTTCACAGTGAGAAGCACACAAACGCCTCTAGTGGCTGTCAATGAGACCGCCACTAGAGGATTTGGAGGCTGGATTAACCCTAATATAAACATAGCAGTTTCTCTAAAACTGCTATGTTTATAAAAAAAAAAGGGGGTTTAATCCTAGAGGGACCTGGCACCCGGACCACTTCATTAAGCTGAAGTGGTCTGGGTGCCTAGAGTGGTTCTTTAAGTAGATAAGGATGTCCAGACTTTAAGATGCCATCTTGAACTAAGTCAGGAAAATTTCCATGACGTATACATCCTTTAGTTATGGACTTGTATGTTTGCCAAGTTAAGGGAGGTCCTAAAATGAATAAAGTAAAAGCAGTGTTACTTTTTCATATATGAACTACGGTAACCCTAATATGGAGACACCTAAGTTATAATAAATAGGTATGCTTTTAAATGTTAAGACACAAAGGAGAGACTTGGAGACAGACGCTGCTCCATCTTAAAATGACAGAGAGGCTGACATGATGACATGTTCAGAAGGGTATGTTAACCTATTAATGATATTTGCAAGCATTTAGTTTAATCTTATAAACTCTGCTATAATGGATTTTATATGTCTACATTTATATTTTTATATAATAAATATCAAAAAGACAATTTTATTGCTTCCAAGACAATCCTTATTTTATAAATAGAGGATCTCTTACTAACTATATAAAATTATGGCTAAGATATCTGTATGATTAGCCCTACTAAGTTCTATGCTTTAAGATATTATAGTGGTAAATAAGGGAACCACTTGCGGTTACAACACCATAACCACAACAGTGAGCTGTAGTTGTTATGCTTAAATATGAGATCACGGCAAGTACTTCTCTTTGAATGAGAGAAAGCTCTACATTTTCCATAAACCCTCGTTCTGCTAAATGAAGTTAAATTAAATATGACCCTTGCAGAAGTCATTGGAAGCCTACGCTTGCCTCTAATTGCCATGGCAAGCCTTTTCATTCATTCATTCTTGATTAAAGGCAGCCCTGCAAGTCTTTGTGCATGCTGCAAAATGACTTCCTTTGAGTGGTGCAAAAATAGTGTTTTTGTAAGTTTTTTTTTTTTTTTGGTTCTGTGATTTTAGTTAGGTTACAGAAACCTTTCTTTTATCAAATTAAACATTGTATTTTTAAATGTGTTTTTTTTGCATGATACATACTTTGACATGTTTATGGTGGTGTGTATGTGAAGATGTATAAATTCAGAAAATTGCTTTGTTGGACATTCAGTTGGAACTTCAACCTCACATTGAATAGGTAGCGTTGTCTCTAATCAATACTTCTTTGACAGATGCTATGGAAAGTTACCTTGCCGTTGTGTACGCTGGATTGGCTGGCTCTGTGACTATGATCAGCTGTGCAGTTTTTACACTTACAAGGCTCCTCTTTGAATTCAAAGGTAATCCATAAATGCGGAGTCGCATTGAATTTCTTATGATTAATCTGCTTGCATTGATTGCCTTTTCTGGTACTGATGCCGATATGATGTGCAGTGAAATATTTCCTGTATATTTAGAGTTCTTATTGCAAAAATCTATCCCTACATTCGCATAATTGTTCAAATTTCCTGTATGGAAACATACTTAGACTTTACAATATATGAAGATATTTAATACCGGTAATAAAACCACTTTTTTCCTTCTTTTAATTTAACAAGGACATGTCTCGACCTAATAACATTTTGGCCAAGCCTTTGAGCAGTTTCATGCTGTAGTTGTAACTAAAGCATTGTCAATTGTTCCTGCAGGGCTAATGGAACTTTGCAGCCTTAAATGTTATCTGGGAATTGTTGCATTTGATGGAGGCTTGATTTAATAATTTAGCTTTATCGATTATTCCCAGCACAAGCGATGCTCTGTTAGTTTGCTCCAGATCAGTAGCTAAGTTGTTCCTTCTCATACTTCTGTTACAGAACAGATGGGAGTGGATATCATCGAACATCTTTTACAGAATGTGTGTCTTCTTCTAATCTCCAAAACGCGTGAAATTGTGAAAGCAGCGCTGGGTTTCATTAAAGTAATCATCTTTATTATGGACATAAAAGTTCTCTCTAAACATCTGCAGATGATGGTAAGAAAGTTACACTTGTCAAGCTTTACAATTTTTTGTTTGTTCATTATTTCAGTATGTTCTTACAAAAAAAAAAGCATATGTTCCTTTTGAAAGTGTGAATACAACACGCAGCTTCCAAAATGCCACTGAATGTAAAAAAATGTCTGCATGTCGGCATAATGCATCTACCACGTGTGCGTACAGATTTCCACAGACTGCAACTGTTGTTTGCATGTGATCACAGTTCTGCGCTCATTTTCCTCCCCATCTTTTGTAGATAGAGGCAATTGGAAATATAAATAAAGACATGAGGCGTCATTTTCGTGTGAAACTTCGAAACATCTTCACCAAATTCATCCGAAAGTTTGGGTAGGTAATTATATACATTTATTTATAATGTGACTGTTTGAAAGGCTTCATATTTCAAGTCCTGCACTACTAGCCAGGCCTCAAATGTTACTTGCCACTATAAGCCTGAACAGTCCGTGGCACACTCACTCGCTTGTGGGGGGTGGAAATAATGAGCCTGGAAAGTTTGAAATATTCACAGATTATAGAAGTCAGCCACAGTCTTTAAACATATGCCTGGAATTGCAGCAAAATAGTCAGATTTTGGTTTAAAGATATTTAAATCTGTTTCTATGTAACCTGAATTTATACGAAAGCATTTTAATTACCAGCTGTAGCCGTCAAGTAAATATTAAAATGTTTTCGATTTGACTCCATCTGTGTGGTGTTGTTGCTGTAGTGTCTGCAAGTGTAGTATTATAATGTATCACTGTATGATGTATTATACCACTGTTACATTGACTGCTGATGATATGATAAAATCCACCACGCACATGCTTTCACTTATGTAACCTAAAATGCAGCCACTCACTGATACCCCCATAACAGTCCCATTCATTGTGGAATGCTGCAATGATTTTTTGGGGGGTTGATGAATGTACTTTCACTGTGACTGGCGTTTTAACACTGCATGGAAGGATGGTGCTATGAGACTCGAGACACTATAACCACTTCAATGAGTTGCAGCAGTTACAGTACCTACAGTGTTGCTTTAGGTCTGTTTATTGGATCAAATGCTGTGTTTAGTATATGGAATATAACGCTGTTTAGTAGTAATGACCATTGTTTTGATAATCTGCAAATCTAGGTTTGATGTGGTGAAAAATATGCTTCCTGAGGAGTATCATAAAGTTCTCGCAAACATCCGCAAGGCAGAGGCAAAGAACAAGAAACAGAAAGCCCTGAAACAGGACTCTTCTCAGGGTGAGGAGGATGACAAGGAAGCAAAGATCAAGGGAGACAGGTGAGAGAATTGTCCCAGCTCTTTCCCGAAGTAAGGCGACTAAAATGAAAAACGTTCTAGTTTGAGTATTAAACAACGTTTTTATTCCCTGTCCCGATATTTCAGAGCTATCCAAAAGCTAACCTGATGAGGTGACTTACTGGGCTGAGAATTTCTCAGCAGCAGTTTAACCCCTTAAGGACATATGACATGTGTGACATGTCATGATTCCCTTTTATTCCAGAAGTTTGGTCCTTAAGGAGTTAATGTAAAACAGAAAATCTAATTTTGGCTTTTTAAAGGGGTAGTAGTTTAATGTTAAATGTGGTCATCCAGCTGTCGATGCACCCCAATTCCTACTAACAATTGGGCACTGTCTTGCTTTGAACAAACCAGCAAAAAGAAAGAGTAGGAGGATAAAGTATAACGTAAGCATATAAAGGTGGAATACTACCTATGGATAGACCGGTATAAATACAAAAACTTAACTTTTACTAAGTACTGGATACAAGGTCCACATAATCCTGGACTCCAACAAGTAAACTACAAATAGTTTGACAAAAAAATAAAAATACAAGAAAACACACAACAAAGACAATAAACAGTCAAATGGCTAATAGGGAAAGTCTGCTAAACGGTGATAACCTGATAGTCCAGATATCACCTTGTTAAGGTATAAAGCAGACTGTCCACTACTGTACAACCAGTAGATTGAACACCTATGTAGGTAACTTACCCTCTATCAGATCCACAGCTCTGGTTATCGGTCACAAATTGACTGAAGCCGCCTGTGTTTTATATTCTGTGTTTCCTGCAGACACAACTGCTTGTGGCATTACTTAAGTCAGTGACAACGCTTTATCTAAATGTATCAAATAATTCATATTATGCTGGATTTAATTTCCATCTCTCGTTTTCGATTTTTAGCATAGACGATCTGTTGGCGGATACCGACGATGAAGATGATGAGAAAGAGAAGCCCAGAAAGCAGCAGAAGAAGCAGACCAAGCAGAAGAGCCATGCCTGGCTAAAAGAAGGAGAGCAAGATGAACCACTGAACTTCCTCGATCCAAATGCAGCACAGAGAGTCTTGGGTGAGCCATTGCATTCCCTGTATCTGCATATGTGAAGCCTTCATTAGATGCAGTCCGGTCATAATCACAATCGAATCATCTTTTTAAATCATGTTTCAAGTCTTTAGTAATGTCCATGCCTTTGCTTGTCATGGAATGGGCTATAAGAAACCACGCAAGGGATGTTTGTCAATATTGAACCCCGAAATGTATTTTAAATCATTGGGTTCTAAATAGGTCCTCCAGTCACATAATTGCATGCATGTCTGTCTGTCTATCTAGTTAATGCGGGTCAGAAAGGGGGTGGATCAGCTAGGCTGCAGAACTTGCAGAAAAGGTAGGATTTTAGGGCTTTAGAAAATAACTTTGAAAAACTAATCACTGCCTATTTTTTATTTTAACTGCCTTTTTGCAGGTGCATTGAGACAATTAGTATTTTTAACTTAAACTATCCATTAAATAATGACAATAATAATGTGTAGAATATAATTCTCAGATAGTGTTGATTAATTTATAGATGTTTTAATCATCTCTTTAGAATGTTGTTAAATTACCTAAATATAATGTTGGTTTAAACCTCCATCTTTATCCTTGTCACACAGCCACAAGACCTGATGTAAAAGGTGCGAAGCTGAAGCACGACTTTAAAACCACATCGGATGGCCGTCTTATTATCCCAGATGATGAAGCAGAGGAAGAGAAATCAAAGGGTACACAGTTTATTTTCAGCTTCACTTTCATTTGTTGCTGATTAGTTCTGTCTTGATCCTGTGCAGTTGCATTCTGTCTTGGAGACTTGGTCTTGATAGAAACCAAAGCAAACACACAACATAGGGCTACTAAACGTGGTTAGAGTCTGTATAATACATGTCTGTCTGAGCCGTAAACTCACACAGTTTGGAGAGTGGAATGGGAAGGGGGTAACATGTCTATTATCTTTAATGGAAAAGCAGAATTTACTGTAAAAGTTTTTTTTTTTTTTTTGGTAAATCTCTTTTTATTAAGGTTTTCATAAACAAAAGTACAAAGAGGCAGGACAGTAATTTACTGTAAAAGTTGGTAACAAGAGCAAGTGAGGAGTCGGTGGATGGCTTATCTGTAACAATTCCTCCCTTCCCCAGCACGATAGAGAGTTGGATACATGAAATGGCTATAGATAGAGGCTGTAATGCTATAGGGGTGTTTGCAGACTATTAGCAAACCTATTCCGTCACAAAACAAAATATCATGTGAGATGTAAATGTTCTAACAGCGCGTACATATAAAATAATAGAAACCGTTTTTTACTTCCCTCCTTGTGCCACATCTATGTAGTTAGTATTCCCATTACATATTCTCGTACAGAGGCGGACAGGATATATGTAAAATCTAATGTATACTGTCTTTCTAGTTTTTGCATGTGCATTAAAGGTAGGTGAATTGCTAAAGATGATTCACAGATTGGAGTAGCGTTAAATCTTGATTTTCAGTTGTCTTTCAAAGTCTGCTGTGTGTGTGTGTGTGTGTGTGTGTGTGTATATATATATATATATATATATATATATATATATATATATATATATATATATATATATATATATATATATATACACATATATATATACACATATATGAAACAAGGGGGGGTTGGCTGCACTCACCTGAACATGCATAAATGGGGGTGCTGCTGGGGGCCAAATAATACAAAACACAAGATCCAGCGCACTCACCTATCCACTAAACAGCAACTAAAGAGCAAATCTTTCAACATTGAAGTTGCTGTTTAGTGGATAGGTGAGTGCGCTGGATCTTGTTTTATATTATTTGGCCCCCAGCAGCACCCCCATTTATGCATGTTCAGGTGAGTGCAGCCAACCCCCCCCTTGTTTCATATGTATATATTTGGGAGTCTAGCCAACTCCTTGGTTTTGCACCCCTCCCTGTCACAGGTGCCTCATCCCAGGGCCCTATTTAGCCTTGTACTGCAGAGAGCCCCAGATGGAATTTTTTCCTCAAGTAAGTGGTTAATCTCATAAGAGCAGACATTAGGCTGTTAGTGTAGGACCTGCCAAAGATGGGGTACATTGACGTTGTGGCAGGCTTATGCAATGTATGATCATATAATGTAACTAAACCCCCATTATTTTTGCCTAGATTAGGTGTTTTTAAAAAAACTAATAAAATCTTTCAACATTGAAGTTGCTGTTTAGTGGATAGGTGAGTGCGCTGGATCTTGTGTTTTATATATATGGTCTTTCTGACTAACGGTAGGAGCAGGAGATAAATTTAGGACTAGCGAGAAGTTTTCTTCTCTTCTAATCCTTCACTTTGAAGCTTCAGCTAATGAAAGTCTCTTAGCAGGAATTCCTGACTCACTGTCCATTTTCTTTGTTTTGTTTCTGGACTCCTGTAGAACTTCTCTCAGCTCTCCTGCAGGGCATTTTATATTAAATATAATGTGACTCCATGGGAAGTCCCCTACACGCATACTGCAAGCCCAGTGCCTGTCAATTGTTTTTTGCCATCACTTATTCTAGAACTCACATTTTTATTTGCTCTTTGTGAGTTCTTGGGTTTGCATTTGGACAGGCAATCAAGCTGCTGCATCCTTTGCAAACATGAAAAGTGAGACTAGGAGCCTTGTACTTGTGCAGTATATTAAATATCTGTGCTTGACTCTCTTATGGTTCATTCTTCCAGAGCTGTGATTCTCTCCTAGATGGCAAAAGTACATGGTGCAACATAGACTCCCCCCAGAGATTCCTAACAGTCAACCTGGGATGTCATTTAGTAAGCTGTACCTTCATCATATATCCCAAATATTGATACTAGTGTGCACTATTCTATGGCTTAGATTTGTTAAGCGTTTCCGTGACATAGCATTGAAAGGTCTGACAGCCATTAAACTTGACTGATTCCTGCTTATTCATCCAAATATTTGGAATCCTAATTAAGACATTTATTTGTAAGACATCCCAGACTGGAGGGGCTGGCCTTTTCTTCTTCTTCTTTTTTTTTTCTTTATCTTTCTTTCAAATTGCTTAGTTTGATTTAAATAAAATAAACACTGTTTGAGGTGCGGCTTTTTGTGATGCTATAGGATTTGAGAGATTACTTACGTCTCTCGTAAGCTCATTGATCACAGTGGGCAGAGTACATGCCATAACCAGCATTTTCTCATCTAACATTCACTGACAAAAAAACATCTTGTGGTAAAATTACACACAATTCATATACTTTTCTTTTGGCTGTGTTCCTGAATGCACCCCATACTGCATCATGGAAGCCACTTTCCTTGGTAGCTATGACACCTAGGACTCATTGTGACCTGGCACTATTTCAGAGGATATAAAGGGAATGTATGCAATGTAATAATTCTCTCCGGTTTTCTTTTTAGTAAATGTGGATGAAGAGATGGCCGATCTAATGCAGGAGGTTGGACTTCGAACGGTAAGCTAAAACTTCAGAGATTCTCATTGCAGTGTGCTTTGCAGTGAAGCAGACTTAAAAAAAAAAAAAAAAAAAAAAGAAATTATACCCTGATTCACTCCTTCCTGTTTGTATTAGCAGTTTGTAAATGTCAGTGCTTGACCCTGAGAGTGAAATGTACACTGTTCCATTGCAATTGTGTGTACTGTTGTTAAACTGTCGGGACTACACTCACAAACAGGGGGTTTGTTATAATATGCAAGTTAACCTTCATTTCATCATTCAAGGAATTTTCAGTTAGAGCTGAATGTGGAGAATGTTTCTACGTTGTGCATTTCATGACAAACATTTTGAAAAAAACACTATATTGTTTGCAGAAAAAAGCACAAAAGAAGCGCTTCCGAGAAGTAGACGACGACGATGATGAATATGCAGTGGGCAGCTCGTCACAGTATAAAGGTAATTTTTCTGATGAAAGTTCATATTATGCGATAGTAAAGGAAAAAAAGAATAGAATGACAAATGTGATCAGTCCAAAAGGTGTAGAACAAAATTAAAAAAAAAAAACAAAGAGCAGAAGGGAAATACATGGGGCATAAACATATATTGGATGCAGGGCTAAAGGTTAGATTTGGGAAGGAATTTCAATATTCATTTTTTTACAAGTATTATTGGGTTCCCCACATAAAAAAATATTTAGACATGTTGGAATACAGTCTAAGTTCTGGCAGAGGTTGAATGTGGTTATTTGAACATGTTATGACATTGTATATTCCCTGTTAAATAAAAAATGATGGCCATCTATAGTGTAACAGAGATCTGGAGCAGCTGGTCCATCAGCCCCTATTTAAACCTGCAGAGGAGACTATTCTAAGTACCAGAAGCAATTTCTAGGTCACCGTGAAGTTATCAAGCCTTGCTGTACAGCCAATAATTATTTGCTAATAAAAGTGACTGAATAAGAACAAGAATTAAAGGAAATGTACAGGTAACAAAAAATGCATATATTTGTGGTCGCCCCCCTTCCCGCCCATACTGTAAACTGTCACTAAATGCCCTTTTCCTTAAATAGTGCAAAAATTAGCTTTCGAATAATTCGTTTTAATGCTCACTTTGATCAGATTTTGTGCTCCTCCTCTGATTGCATGTCATTTGCTCGCCACATTAGGTATCATAAATAAATATAAAGAGACAAACTCACAAATACCTATGGAGCTTTGTGCTATCTCTCTCTCTCTCTTGCTATTTCTCTATCTTGGACTTTGCGAATTTGGCCACAGACAGTGGCAAAGTCCCCCGATGGCTAGAGTGAGGGAATGGGGGGGCATGTAGAAGTGTGCGTAATTACCTGAACCTGTACCTCACGGGCGCTGCAATCTTTCTCGCAATACTCCTCTTCAACAGGAGCAGACATCACTGTCTAGAGTACAACATTGAGGTCTAGGGGGTATCACTGGTGATTGCCGGTGCATTTGACTCTTAGACTACGCCTTGAGCCTAAGAAAGTCAGACGAAGGAGAAATAAAAAAACAAAGTAGTCCCTACTTTGTCTGTGTATCTTTTGAGTGGGTTGGAATTTCAGTGAAATTTCAACACAGTCAAAATGAGTGTTTTGTAAAGATTCTATTTTTATGAAATATTCATTTTTCAGGGTGGGTGCCAGTGCCGTTTTAAGCCATTCGTCTCCTGTCCCCTGGGCTTGTGTATCTGTGTGTATGCCTCATCCAATACCTTTCCTTTTGTTTTGGTTATTTGAACCTTTCTTATTACCCTGCTGTCAGTTCAGTCACGAACATAACTGCCAAACCTACTCCCGTATATATCACTTAATTCAAGACTCCTAAAAGAAGATACTGAGTGCATGAATAAAGATATCATGGTGTATTTATTAACCCCAGATTTAAACCCATTTCATTTACAGAACAAGGAAGACACTTTGTAACAGAACTCACAAATTGCAACATATAGGTCTATAGTTACACAATTTCAATTGATTAGAATAACCGGCAACTCAATAATAACATTCATATCTATTAGTTACATCTACGCACGTATTGGATCTTTTCAAATCCATAGACTTCACAAAAACAGCATTTTCTTTTTTCTTTTATGTTATTAGCTGGTGGCTCAGGGATTCACAGACCGTTCTCCAAAAAGCCAGAGATTGGAACGCAATACAAGTCAAAGGTATTTTATAATTATTGTTTTGGATGAATTCTGAAACTCTGCACAAACTGTCTTCTATACAGCACTTACAAATGGGTTTTGAATACGATTGCCTTGCATTCCTTTTACAATATGGCAGTGGCTTATTGTTTTCATTGCGACAAAGACAGACTGTATTCCGTTTTGCACTTGAGGGCGATGCTTTTCTTTAAACATGTAAATCTTGAAAATACATACAATTGCTGTTTATAACATGCCTGTATCTGGGTATACATTGTATTTTATAATCTGTATATATATTTAACAGAAACAAAGGACCTGGTCTATTTTTTTTTCACTCCTTTTCCTCCATAGTAAAACAAACATTTGGTTACAATAAACGTTCAACAAAAAAACAAAACAGACATTTAGAATAAACCGATAACAATTCAACAGTATTTAAGACTGTTGGTGGGAATAATAAAGTGAATTTTATTCTTATGACTTTTTTTTTTTTTATATTATAATGGGTAAAAAGGCACAGGTGGTATAGAGGGACACTCAATGCTTTAGTTAACCCATTACTTTCATTCTGTATAAGGGTAGTGCTGTTACAAATATATACAAAAAGACTAAATTAAGCATGACAACAAATGAACATTATGTACATTCCCTTTTATATACGTATATATATCTGGTGTGTGCACTGTGCCATTATTGTAAACATTTGATATATTTCCTTTGATGTATGATTGTTCGCTCAAACCCAGTGTGAGAATCAAACAGACTTTAACTTTTGACAAAGAACACTTTCAGAGGTTGTTAGTGTGTTATTTTGTTTAAAATATGTAATTGCATATTGGTGGCAAAATAATTCCTGCAATACTGCACTGTTTTGTAGCATGCACACTGGGTCTTCAGAAAAAAAAACCAAAAAAAACATTGCTTAGTAAATTAATTATGATTTTACAAGTAAATCTGGCAATATTCTGGTACTCTTATATCATAAATAATTCAGCCTCTCCAGAAAAGATGGTATATTTTATTTTTGAATGATTGAAAATGAAGATCATAAGTGACTACGAGGCAGAATGCGTGTTCTGTGCACTTCGCTATAAAAAGTGAATCAGAATGCAGGTGGATTCTCTGCATTGATGAATGCCTTCTAACGGATGGGTAGTCTGTGCACTGCACACGATTGTGAACTGCAATACCCATGACGCCCTGGTAGATGTATTATAGAATGTTTAAATAAATGTGTAACAGGTTGAAGAATAATTGTCTTTTTCATGATTTCTTTATTTTCTAGAAAGGAAAAGGTGATGTAAAGCAGAAAGGCAAACATGATCCATATGCCTACGTCCCCCTTAACAAAGCCACATTAAATCGAAGGTACCAATCCCCACTACTCATAGTAATGTTTTCATTGTCTGTAAGATGCACATGCCGTATAAATACCCGGCTAGCAGTCTCTTATTTCCCCTGTACCTAAAAGGGCCATTTCTAGACGTAAAAAAAGTGTAATGAGGGGGGCTACTGAAAATGGTCCCTCTAAAGTGTCTTATCATATTTATTGATTACAAATTAATGTTAGGAAATTATTTTTTGGCTCATCAAAATTAAAAGAAGAGCCAATAAGATGTATGCTGTGTAAATATATTTTTACAAGAACAATCAATCGACAAAATTAATAAATACATTTAAAAAATCGCTGTTTAGTAGATCTATCCCAAACATGCATGCATTTATTGTACATTTTTTTTTTGCATTTGAGATATATCTAACAGAAGACTGCAGATCGCTTGTCTGTAGCCTTAGCAAGCCATCCCCTTTCAGTCATTGCTGGAGAAATTACCAATCAGGAGGTTTTCTTTGACGGCCAGGGAGATATTTCTGCAATTATTTATGAAAGTGCAGATTTGAAATGAAATGTGCTACTTTTTTAAACAATTAAAATGAGTACTTCATGGAGTGTTCCTATGAGTAGAGGATTGAAATAATTTAACAATTGCACCAATTGACAACATGCCGATTTCTCGTGTTCAGTGATATTTTTGTAGTTATTTATTGAATGGGACCAATTGTTTTCAATAATATCTGTTGTTCAGCAGCAAAATCCTATTCTCAACATACATTTTGTCTAACTTAAAACATGACATTTTCTAGTCTTTTTCTACAGTTCTACTTGTAAGACACCTAAAGAGTATTCTTAGAAATTAACTTATTTTCACTATTTAGGCCACTTCAAACATTTTCTTTCATTCCAGTATAGCTACTAAGTTACATTGAAAGGAAAGAGCAGAAACTAAAATACAGTAAACATAACCTTTTATTTAAGAGATGAATTGACTCCTTGTAATTTGCAGTTGTACAATGAAAATGACAATAGAAACGTGTATCGATTTTGCACAATGCATAAAATCCTCTGCTTTAACGCAAACAATGACTAATGCTCTCATTCTACATTCTCGTTTCTCTCTAATGTGCAGGAAAAAGGCGAAAATTCAAGGCCAGTTTAAGGGTTTTGTAAAGGCTGCACAGAGAGGGGCACAGACTGGAAGAAAGAAAAGGAAAGAGCGAAAGGCATGAGCGCTCCTTCGTTTTATCTCCCTGTTTGGACTTTGTTTGAATCCGATTTCTTTAATAAACAAACTTTTTTTTTTCTTGCGCTGCTATGTGGACTGATGGAGGGCAATGCGCAGTCACCAACTCCAGTTTTAATTATTGGAGGGGAGGACTCTGCTGTGTTTACGAATTATAAATCCAGTGTCAACAGAGGTGCATTATTATTTTGTTTTTGCCTGCATCTATTTCTAAACCATGTAGTGCCCTAGAATTGCTCATTGGAGCCATCAGGCTGATCCCTGTCCAACATTCTGACAGATTGATCCTGGCTTATGTTTTAGGATTCATTTAGTCTTAATGTGAATTTTGTTCTAAATTAAGAAATATCTACAGTGTGTTACTTATTGTGTGGATCAGCAAATATATATTGGATTACATCACAGCTACACAAGGCTTCCTTGCTACAGTTCTTCTTGTCTGATAATTGCACTTTGTGTCCAATCATTGAGTGTAATCTTCCCCTATTTATTGTATCTCTGCAAGGCTTTTAGCATTAAGCCTGGTTTTGAAAAATACGGTAAACCATAATAACTAAATAAATAAAAAAAATCCCCTTTTTCTGCTGTGAAATGCCAGCAATTCCCTGTTCTAAACACAGAACATTTTACTTTGTGGGTGCAAATGAGGCACATCATTCCTTTGAGCTGAAATTCTAATATTTGCTTTTTCTTCCCTTGCCTAATTATCTAGCGGAAATACAACAGGTAAAATATCAGGCCGTTTTAATAAATGGTTGGAAAGTGAGTTTAGATAAAAACAACCAATTATTAATTCGAATAAAGTACCTTTTTTTCAGGGGATAGCAGAGAGGAAATAATTTGCTCTCCTGCTGTTTGATATTTATATGACTGCAGGAATTTGATCATTCCTTTTTTCTGACAAGCTGAGCTAGAGTGCAATCCATTGACAGGAATCACTATAATTTAATGAGTTATCAAACTCTGTCTGTCTGATCCCCGCTGTCAGATGAGGATCCGACCATGTCTGTCTGTCATGCAGATGGTTAGTGGTTATGGCAGACAATGTATTGTTTTATATGATCCCCATAACATTAAATTCTCAAACTTTTTCTGTCACACGTGTTCCTGGCTTTTCTTAACAAGGTACTGCTGTACATACTGTTAGTTGGTTTGATCAGTGCTTTACATGACTGTGAAGATTGCTGCGAGAGGCTGACAGACATATTTAGTTGTCACGCCATATGGCACTATAACCTGTAGTAATTGCGCAGTATGCAGTCAGAACAAGCTATTGGAATGCTACAGAATGAAGAGTCCACCAATGCTAAGTAACATGCCTTATTATTATTTAACACTTCCATGACAAGAAGTTCAGCAAATTATAAAAAAACAAAATCGTTACTTGTGCATTTAATTTCCTATGCACATTTAAACAACTGGAGGTTTTTAGTATCACTCCAATGGCCATTTACGTGTAAGCTCACCTGCCACTTCAAGACAAATCTCTTAGGGTAGTCCTACACTAACAATTCACCTTGCTTCTTTCAGCTTCAGGTAAAACCTCTGAGACAGAGAAGGCTGTTTTTCTAAACCCCTACATACTTCTTAACCCTTATTAGGGAACACATGGGGTGGGCGGCAGCATTGTAACATGGCTGTGTAATACAAAGGCAAATTCACAAATCCAATTTATTGTAGGTTACAAAGTAAATAGTTGTTGGGACATTTCGCACCTTTCGCTCGAAAAAGCTCTGCTTAACAATAAAAACTGCTCCCCTCCACCACAGTCTTTTTTTCCTGTCCTTAGCTGGTTCTACAGGACCTAAAATAATTTATTTTTTTGGCCGCCTTCCTGCGTTTGTCATGGGTTCTTTCCAAATGAAGTTCAGCCTCTCTTCATTTGATGAATCCAGTAAACAGCCTACACGAGCAAGACTAACTGGGTTATGTTCAGTGTAAGTACTGAACTGTTACGTGGGATATGTATGGTGTTCTGAGGGATACACGTTTGCAGGGTAAATGGTGGGGTTGGACCTCCTTAAAAATTCTCCCTATAAATTGGTGCCAAAAATCCCCCTTTAAGGCAGCTCTTTGGGATCCATACTTGTATAGGGTGTCCTCCCTTGGAGGGAGCCCTCTGGGGACTCTATTTCCTATGTTATGTTACCTGATCAGTTGGTTTAGAGAAGGGGGTTGGTTTAGTCCGCTGGGGTTCCTCATTTCGAGCGCTGGAACGCGTTATGCGTTCCAATGGGTGGAAGTGACATTTGCAGCTACCTCAGCGTGACTGGAAATGACGCAGGCGGCATGCGCAGAATCAGGATTTCCCCGGCTCTATTTTAATTCAGTGTGGGCTGGGGTGCGCTGTGTGTCTGCTAGCATCTGATGGTGTCCTTGGTTCACTACTTCAATCACCTTATTTGAGAGCATTGATCCACTTTAAGGAATAAGTTCACAAGGATATATCCTTACTCTGCTATTGACTGCAAAGTATGGAACTCAGTCCCAAAGAGAGATGCTTCCGTGATTCATATGGCTAAGTAAACTACGCTCCCCATTGACTCCATGGCCTACCTTAGAGAACCTATGGAAAAACGTATGGATGGGGATCTGCTAAAATCTTATTTAGCCCTAGGCTCTGCTCTCCATCCTGCGCTGACGCTAACCACTCTCTCAAGTGCATTAAGAGTATGGCTCGCAAATCTAAAGGAGGGCATTGACAGTGTAGTCCACAGGGAACATCTCCTGGAAAGTCTCAAGGACTTCAGCCTTGCTACAGAATTCTGCTCAGAAGCCTCTTTAGACATCACTTGTATGATTGCTAAAGGTAGGGCCCTGTCTGAGGCCTCTAGAAGGGCCTTTATGGCTTTATTGATGGGAAACAGACTATGCCTCCAAGGCATCTTTGTGTGGTCTTCTGTTCCAGGGGGATTTATTATTCATTAAGATTCAGGAGGGCGCCATACAAAAGGCTGTAGATAGCAAAAAAGCTTTTTTGCTGCAAGAAAGAAGGAAGACTTTTCCCTCTTCCTGGAAAACTAAACGCATCAAGGATCGGTCCTTTCGGGACAGCAGAAGCTATAAACCAGGAAGGAAGTATTCTAGAAATTCTTCTTGGAAAAGCTTCTGTTAATCAGCCAATAAGGTTTCCAGAGAGAAAGGATCTAGAACCTCTGGGAAGAACTTCTGAAGGTCCTCAGGCCCATTCGGGGATTGTGGGAGGAAGACTAAGGTTCTTGTACCCGGTGTGGGCCACAAGTATCACAGATGTCTTAGTCAATTCCATCATAAAAGGTTACAGGATAGAGTTCTCCTCTTACCCAAAATCCGCTCTCTTCAGGAAGTTGAGGGTATTGACTGGGCATCAAATGAAGAGCCGTGAGGAAATGCATCTCTACTCTTCAGCAACAAAGTGTTATGGAAGAAGTTCCAAAAGAGGAAAGGTTCAAAGGAGTTTACTCCACAGTGTTCTTGGCTCCAACAATTGGGCTGGTAAAATGGGCCCAATGGAGGTTTTGTCCTATTTAGAATTGCTTCCTTCTTCAATTTGACAGAGTAGAAACAGATTGGGAGCAAAGGATAACTCTGCCCCTGTCAGTAAGAAAAGAGTTGAACTGGTAGAGGGGCAAGAAGAATTTGGAGAAAGGTTTCCCGTTAGAGGAACCTCCTTGGAATGTTATTACAACAGATGCAAGTTCTTTTGGATGGGGTGCCCACTTCAATTCCACATGGAAACAAGGGAAGTGGACCAGAGAAGAGAGTAGTCTACACTCAAATTTAAGGGAGCTAAGGGCCATTTCGAGAGCCAACTTGACAGGAAGGACTTATGTGGATACCACTAACTTGAAGAGAGAGCGAAAGATGAGGATCAGTATTAGGAGGAGGAAAGACAAGGAGTTCAGTTTTAGAGAGACTGAGTTTCAGAAAGCAGGAGGACATCCAGTCAAAGATGGAAGAAAGGCAAGCAGTGACATGTTGCAGGATGGCAGAGGAGAGCGATATCTGGGTGTCATCAGCGTACAGGTGGTAGTGGAATCCAAATGAGGTAAAAGGTTTGCCGAGAGAGGCAGTCTTAAGAGAAAATACAAAGGGACCAAGGACAGAGCCTTCGGGACTCCAACCTTCATAGCTTCTATGCTGTCTGTGGGAATCAAATGGTGAAAGATAAAGAATTGTTCCTTTACAAAACAATTTCATAAAAGCGGGAAAAAAAATAATAAATCCTATAGCAAAAGAGACGAAGGGAAGAATGCAGATTATTTTGTATAGTCTTGTGCAAGTGTGAACATTGCAAAAGCCTATATAGATGGTTTACAGGAAAATAATGTACAATACATTTTAACAGATTGAGAACAATGTATTGAAGGGGATAACCAAAAGCCTAGCAAAACACTAAATGCAAGGATGTTGGGGATGTTGATTAGCAATAGCTGATGTCCTTATCCTTAAATTATGTAGACATTTATAATTTCTTAAAGAATTTGAATTTCATGAGACATTTTTTTCCCCTCCTGAACATTGACTTTGTTTATGTCCACTATGATATGATTAATATATTTAAAGAAATACGGTCACAGGTATATTCTGTATACATATTTTGTAGAACCACTTTGGACATTTTTTTTTTTTTGGTAATTACGGCAGCGTGTATGAATTAAAAAATAACAATATATAGCCTTTTCTAGATTACTGTATACATGGGTGTACAAAACTGAATATCGAATGCAAATTAGCCTTTGCCCAACAATGGAGGTCATTAGTTACATAGCTGGAAAAAAAAACATGTGTCCATCAAGTTCAGCCTTTCTCATATTAGACCACTGCTTTTAATCAGCCATTAGAATGGACACATGCTCTTTTTCAGCTAAGATCTCAATAGGGTGGATTTAGACCTAGGTGCTAAATGTACTCTACTCCAATGGCAATCATAGTATTTACCTATAAGAATACAAAGATACTATCAGATATTTATCAAGGCTTGGCGTTTTATATCATCATATTTTTGATAGTATAGGTTTTAAAATCTGACGGTTTTCCTACGAGTAAATTTTCATCTTGGGAAGGCCAAATTTACTATAGCAGAAAAAATAAGTGAAACAGAACACTTGGATCTAAAACAGATTTAAAAAAAAGCCAGATTTAACCAACTGCAGTGAATAAACTGCACTTTACTTAATTTTATGAGTAAAAGGCGGTGGGGTTGTAATTTAAGACCCTTTTCACATTTAGGTTGAATTTACCATTTCAATTATAGGTAAAATGTTTTTTGACAAGTGCACACAATATTATTCCTAAACAACTTTATTGTAAAATGTGTTGTTGACCGTTTTTCTAGTGCTTTTGATAGAAGCTTTGGACTAGATAATTATAAGTTAAGTACCCCAAAAGGAACATTTTGGTAAAAATCAAAACATCTGACCACACAAATTTCAGAAGAAAATGTGGCTCAATTTTATGGATGGATAGCAAGGAATTACGCATAAATATATGAATATAATTACCGCTAGTCCATCCTTTTCATGAATCACGATTTGTTTATACTCTGGCGAATTTTAAAATAAAATGAAAAATTAAAAACAACTTAGAAATGCATATTTTGGATTGTTTTTTTTCAAATATATCAAAGATGCCGGACTCCTGATTGTATGGAATAGTGGGCTCTAAATCTGTAAAATAGGATCTGGGTTACACAATGTACCGTATTTGCTATAACCGCATACCTCATTTTAGAAGGAAATTTCAGGGAAAAAAACTTAAAAGGACCACTATAGTGCCACCTGAGGTGCCCCACCCTCAGGGACCCTCCCGCCCGGGACTCTGGAGAGAGGAAGGGTTAAACACACACCTTTCTCCGCCGGGCGAGGAGCTGTACTACTCCTCCTCCTCCTTGTGCAGCGTCGCCGGCCAATAGCATGCGCATTCAGCCAGTCGCATAGGAAGCTTTACATTTACAATGCTTTCCTGAGCGCTTTCGCTTTGCTCTCACTGTGATTTTCACAGTGAGAAAGCATAGCGCTGCTTTGTCAATGAGACAGCCACTGCACAAAGCTCTGGAGAGCTGATTGACCCTCAGCGAGTAAAAGCGGCAGTTTCTCTGAAACTGCTATGTTTTAAAAGGGTTAATCCTAGAGGGACTGGCACCCAGACCACTTCATTAAGCGGAAGTGGTCTGGGTGCTAGAATCAGTCCTTTAAATTTCAAAAAAGAACTTCTTACCCCCTTCTTACTCCCCCTCCCCTCTTACCCCCTTCTTACTCTCCCTCCCCCCTTACACCCCTTTCTTACTCCCCCCTCCCCCTCTTCTTACTCCCCCTCCCCTC